CTGCAGTGATCTTGAGCAATTTCGTCGGGATGCCATCGTACCCAGCCGACTTCCGGAAATCAAGAGCGGAAAGGAGTTTTCTGATCTCCTCCTGGGTGGTGATGATTTCCTTCAGTTCGCTTCCGATGATGCGCGACGCCCCAATCTCTGGCACGGCTTCAGTTGGTCCGGAGACGTACTTCTGGCTTTCCGAAATGAAAAAAATTGTTAAACGCTTCCGCCTTTTCTCCGTCTGATCTGCTTCGTTCGCTGAAATAGGTGGAAGCTCCTTTTTCGGGGACGACCGCAGTGACTTCATTAACTGGTACAGGTTTCGCTGTGGGACACCAGTTACGTCGCCTTGCGCGGTAGTGGATACGAAGGCGGATTTAGCTTCTCTCAGTTGTGTTGTGGTCCTATTGCGTTGAGTTACGAACGTGAGCCAGTTCTCGGCGCTGCGAGTTCTGAGATACTGACGGTAGAGCTGCTGCTTGAGTTACAACAATGACCTAGCCGGCTGTCTCTGTTCTCTTCTGCCTTTGTGATTGTAGATGTACGTGTACAATTATAAACATGTACATGTTCAATGTAGATCAGGGTTCTAGCGGGGGGGGGGGGGGGGAGCGCCCCTCCCCACTACTCCGACCCCCCCCCCCCCCCACCACACTGATGCCCCCCCCCCCCCTACTCTGCTAGCGCACCACCCTACTCATTTTTCGACTCTTGCAGCTCGCACAACGAAAATACCGTCACAAATCAATCGTTCGTTCCGAGTGCTCTGTGCAGCCGTACCAGTGTGTTACATTTTTTTGTGACAAAGCAATAGTGGAACCGGCGAAAAAAATAGGCGAACTGTTTGGTTGCCCTACCCCCCCCCCCCCCCCCCCCCCTGGCCCCACAATTTTCCCTGGGTAGAACCCTGTACGTGTACATGACACAGGCCCGCCGAAACCGGTCAGGTTAACACCGGACCAACTTTGTACATGTAGCTGCTGGCAATGCTGAGGAGGGCATACGTCCCCGACATATTCTACACAAACTGTACGAAAGACTCTGGTACGACCGGACCAATTGAAAACTGCTAGCTTCTGGCGGTCCTGCATGGTGTTATCGTACTCGTAAACGGCGGTTACATGTATGTGCATGTAGACCTAGGGGCGTGTTCGCCTGGGGTGATCTGATAGCAGGGCAAGCACATCGAGCACGCAGAACAGTCAGTTCCCAGACGAACGCGATGGAGCACGCAGAGCAGTCAGTTCCCATGCAAACGCGATGGAGCACGCAGAGCAGTTTCTGTGACGTTGACATCGAAAACATGGCGCCTGAGTTCATCCTTTTTACTTTCGATTTTGAGGGAATTTCAAATGGTGAACGGTACTATTCGGCCAATAAAATGTAAAGAACTCTTCCTCTCCTCTCCTCTATGCGCTCTCACAGCCGACTCACTGCTACCCTCGGTAGCCATTACACACACCAACAGCTATACAAGGAAGGGTTCCAGGTAGATACTGAAATTTCTCCTGACAGCTGTTTCGCCTCCAAAAGGCTCATCAGAAGGTGATATTGAATAGGATGATATCAGGTGGAGATGGTCAGATTTATACTACAAAACATGATGAGCCTTATGATGAGCCTTATGAAGGCGAAACAGCTGTCAGGAGAAATTTCAGTATCTACCTGCAACCCTTCCTTGTATAGCTGTTGGTGTGTGTAATGGCTACCGAGGGTAGCAGTGAGTCGGCTGTGAGAGCGCATAGAGGAGAGGAGAGGAAGAGTTCTTTAGATTTTGAGGGAAGTTAAAAATATGATATCATAATCTCATTTTTAGTAAATCGGGTGTTTCTTGTATCCATGCCTTCATTTGCTGTTGCTTTATGCCTTCTTTTTGATGGCTGCTGTTGTTAATTTGGATAGGAATAAAAACGATCCGCCCACTATGATAGTACCATCATGACCTTCTGACCCCAAGCACAGTCATGACCTTCTGACCCCAAACACAGGCATGGATTTCTGACCTCAAGCACAGTCATGGCCTTCTGACCCCAAACACGGTCATGACCTGCTGACCTCAAACACACAGTTATGACCTTCTGACCCCAAACACGGTCAGGATCTGACCCCAAACCGAGTTCTTACGTTCATCTGGTGCGCACGTGCGTGCATGTGTGTGTGTTGGGGGGGGGGGGGGGGATTGGGGATGACTGGGTATCTACTTACCCTCATCATTGATGTTGTGTCACTGTGCAGGGCTCTACCTCACCATCATGCCAGGGTTAGACACATGCAGGACATGCCCTACATGTTAGAGACAAACCCCGGTTTCTTCTTCTACTGGATGGTGCGCCTGAAGGTCGGCAAGACGCTCGAGGCCGTGCTCAACGCGCAGGGCCTGGGCCGGCACTCTGTCGCCGAGGTGGCCACCATTGTCGGCAAGGACCTCGGCGCGCTGTCCGCGCTGCTGGGCTCCAGCCATTACGTCATGGGCGACACGATGACGTCATACGATGCCGGCGTGTTCGGCATGATGGCTTCTCTCTACTACCTGATCCCGGACTCTGAGCCACGGCGCCTGATGGACGGCAAGTATTCCAACATTGGCGACTACGTGAAGCGCCTACGCGCCGAGCTCTATCCCGATTGGGACGAGCTGCTTTGCAAAGGATAGAGAACTCAAGGGCAGAGGGTGTGTCGAGTGAGAATGAAATAAAGTGCCTGCGTGCTAGGACGGGAAACGCATCGCCGCACCGCATGGAGAGCCGTTACAACTGTTGCTCTCTAGACAATATCTAGGTGTCGGCCTGTCTACATGTAACGTTAGCTGTCTCTATTTCTGCGTCTTTTTTGCAATTGTTTGGCCAGTCACTCAGACAGTCAGAGCTCTGCTGATGAGACTAAAGACAGTCAAAGCAGTTACCATGGTTACTTGTCTGGAGATTGAGCCCATCTCTTCTGATCTAGGCAGCAAGTGAGCGTTAGTTATGGCTGGGCAGCGGATTTCTTTTCTCTGCTCTTCCAGTCAAGGGCAAGCGTTTGACGGCTGATCCTCTTCCTGATCAATCTTCTTCTGATTATCACTGCTCTCCTGAGCATTCAGCCGAGACAGTTGACGCGCTCCTGGGTAGCTGCAGGCGCGGTTTGCACCATGGCATTGGGACCTGTTGATGAAGTCTATCCACAGCACATCCAGTGTGTGTGTGTCTGTGCGTTGTTGCGTGTTTTCCGAGGCGCTTTTAATGAGTGTCTACTTTATAATGATCTGTCTCGTGGCACAAATAGTTGCGCATATCCTGCAGGAAGGACGTAATAGGTGCTATTGAATATTGTGGGTATTTCCCCCTGTTTCTAATCACTCCTACTGTATGTTTTAGGAAATTAGAGGCCACATGCCACGTACTGCTCTTTTCTCTCCGAAACTCAACACTTGCAAGCCAGATATCAAAGAAAGAAAAAATCATCGGTCACACCACCGGGACTCCTCTAATTTCCTAAAAACTTGAAATTCTCCGTGAAGTCCAAATTTGAAATTCCTACTGTATGTTGTTGTCACAATTCTGAAGTCTAGTTCTTCAACTGACCGGTCGGCTTTTCCACCCAAAGTGCGTTTATCTAAATGATCTTTTCTCTCTTTTTGTTGGAAGAAAGGCATTCGAGCTGACAAGCTCGTTCCCATACAAAATGTAGCTCTGCAAAACACTGAACATCGTTTTCACATCACTGATTTATCTCTTCTTTTATTACTAAAATTATGTATATGACTGTTGCATACATGTAATGTACATGTAGCACTTTAGTTTCAGCCGTTAGCGGTCACAAAATTATTTGACCGTCGTCGTCGCCACACACTTTATCAAGTACATGTATTGGTGAAGGCACTGACAGTTATTTTTACTTTTGTACTTAGCTCTAGTCTAGAGTAGTGATCACATTGTAGGAAAGAGAACATGTTTCACCCGCAAACTCATACATTCACTGTAATAGTGACCTTGAAGCGCGTGTTAAATTTCAGCTACTTTTTTGGTGATGGTTGACAGGAGGACAAACTATGTTCCTGCATGCACGCTGGAGCCACCATACACTGATCATCTAGCAAACAGGCCGGTGTGCGATTATTATAATAATAATCTTTCCCTCAAACTAGTCAGAATTTTAGTACTATGAGGATATGGAATGTCAGCGTACAAGTGCCCCCCCCCCCCCCCCCCCCCTCCACACACACACACACACACAATGCCAGTAACTGCATGTCACATGGGTGTCCCCCGGGACGGGGACGGGAGAGATTCAAAAGGGAACTGTGGACAGTTTGCGATTGAGCCGCGCATGCATGCAGTGGCCGACTACCCCTGAAATTCCCACATTCTCTGACTTGAAAGCGATCCCAATGCACGTCCCAGGTGAGGACAACGTGCAGAAACAAATTCACGGCATCATCATCATTTTCTGGACCTGAATCCAACTGCATTTACCCCTGCTGCATGCATCCAGGGAACTGAGGTAATACGTAACCGGTGACAAGCAACAAGTAACAATTCTAGATTGCTAAAATAATCACAGTGCATTGACCTGATATTGTTGGGTAGCCCATTGATCAACAGGTACATGTATACTTCCAATAGAAAGCACATACATACATGGACGTAAATTACATACATGGACGTAAATTACGTACATGGACGTAAATTACATACATGGTATTAGAAAATGCAATACTAGTACTGAAGTACAGTGCTAGTATTAGATTAACTTGTGGATGGTTGTAGTAAGGTCACTGTTTCCCAACACAATGTCCTCCACCTTGTTTCATGCTGTCAAACCAACAACATAATATATTATGTAATGTATATGGCCCCGCAACCAACAAAGGTGGCTGACACGACAATACACCTTCAAGCAGCCGAGCAACAGATCCAGCCACTACCTAGCGTTAGTGCACCCGCTAACCGGACTAGCTGACACACACACACACGCACACACATGCACAAAGACTTACACAGACTCACAACACAAAAACGCGGAGGGGGTAAGCTTTTCTCAAGCATGCCTGAAACAACATCCAGCATGAATTGGTAACGGACACTACACAAAGGACACATTAAAACAACCGACAAAACCACAGGAAAGAGGGAGAGAGAGAGAGTGATATAGACATTCACAATAGACAGCGGTGAGCGTATGCAAACACTTTTAAGACAGCGTGCAAGCTGATCCACGGACAAAACAGTACAGTGGCGGTCACAGTCGGCACGCCACCGGGGGCCAATCAAAATAACGAATGCGAACACGCACGTGGGGGTCAGAAGAAGCGCGAGGACCAACGGAACAGACGTAGACACAACATTCCGCAGAAGAGCGGAACGAGAAAAGAGGGCAACGCATGCACGTAAAACGAAGAAGATAAAATGCTTATCTTGTTACATTGGCCTAGGGCGACGGCGGCACGAGCATTCACCGACAAACTGTGCCCGCGGTGGCAGTAGGCCACTTGAGACAGTTAGTCGAGTTAGGGTAGGTTACACAGCAAGCAAATGAACGACAGTAATGGCGCGAGGTAATGCAGCCGGCAGCAGCGCACGTGATAAAACTAATAAACAACTCTACTGGGGTTGGACTAAAAGCATCTGCTCATCTAAATGCTCAGCAAGGGATACATTGAACGCTCCTGGGGTTGGGGACACACACATAGAATGGAGACCAGCAGCGGAGTAAACCGATCCTGGGGGCAGGATGTAAACAAAGAAGAGATAAATAGGCAGAGATAGAGAGCGGAACCGTGGGACACCCGTGGGGGGGGGGGGGGGGGGGAGGGAAAGGGAGGGTACGCTGGAGCTAATGAGAGACGAGGCGAGAGCTTGCACTCTTGGGCACACACACAGCACGGTAGGATCAAGACAACAGTAGTAATCTAAGTGTGAGCAACAGCAGACGACATGCACAGGACTAGAACAGGCAAGCAGATGTTGTACTTGGGACGAGGGGGGGGGGGGGGGGGGGGGGAAGAGGTATGCTATGTATACAAATGTACAGTTCTGACCAGTACAGGGCTGGGCGTGCAAAACGACACAAGTTTCGCTGGCAGATCAGAAACCCAGCCATGGTGGGATAGAGAGCAGTGGCGCAGCTACACCATTCTTGCCACTGTCATGGAGGCACACAAACACAAAGTGAACGGACGAAACAACCAGGCACTGAGCGTTGTGACGAGAGTCCAGAGGTTGCCGACCGACAGGCTAAAAAACAGCGCACGGACAGCGTTCGAGTATTCGACTACAGTACCTGAAAAAGAATGTCGGTGCGACGCAAGCTCTCGTGGCATGATTTACTTTGTGAATGCGGCGGCAACGGCCCAGGTCATCTCGTGGGCGTTGGGCTTGAGAGCTTCGACCTCCGGGTCGAGATCGAGCAGCTCGCGGACTCGCCGCGTTGCCACCTCGTAATCCTCGTCGCTCAGTGGGGCAAACGCATTCTCGAGGACGTCGGACGCATGCGCCAGGAAGATGAGGGCCAGCTGGCGTCGGTCCATGCGATGAGGGTCGTTCTGCCAGCGTGACAGCAGTGAATCTTGCACCTGTAGCACAACAACAATGATAACACACAGCAAACCACACCATACCGGTCAAGGTATGCTTTTTGATTTCGCCCGCGCAGGCAGGAAGAACGTCATCAAAAAACGTGGAGCACACCCGCGGTACCACGAATGGCGAGTGTCAGTGGAGCCGCGTTGCTCCGCTGCATGCATTCAAGTGCCGCAGAGCAGCAGTGGAACCTAGCCCTAATGGACTAATTACACCATGCAGTGTGCAGCAGCCCTGCATACCCAGTACATGTGTTACATACAAACCATGTAGTGTGCAGCAGCCCTGCATACCCAGTACATGTGTTACATACAAACCATGTAGTGTGCAGCAGCCCTGCATACCCAGTACATGTGTTACATACAAACCATGTAGTGTGCAGCAGCCCTGCATACGCAGTACATGTGTTACATACAAACCATGTAGTGTGCAGCGGCCCTGCATACGCGGTACATGTGTTACATACAACTTTTATCTGTCTCATGATAGCAAGAGTACATAACCCCCCAGAGTGTGCAACGCCTGATCCAGCTCTGCATAGGGTCTTGGTCGAGCGGAATCGGATCTTTGCGTCATAATACCGTACACATCTGAGGGGAACCCGGGGAGTCGCGGGTACTCTTGGATGAAAACAATGGTGCCCTGCCTCGAGACCGGCCTTGCGCTGGTGTGAAGTGTACGCATGACATCAGAAGATCCGATTCCGCTCGACCAAGACCCTATGCAGAGCTGGATCGGCGTTGCACACTCTGGGGGGTTATGTACTCTTGATGATAGTAGTCAGTACTCGTACTCATCACGGTCAAAGTTCACCTGAGAGGTTCAAAGGTGCTCCCAAATAATGAAATATGAATGGGCACTGGATGCCAATACTCCTTATGTGTACCACGTCCGTGAACTGTGTGCATCGACTCTGTGACCTTTCGACCTGTCTGGGATGCATACGGCTCTAATGCACCAATTAGGTGCAGTGCAATACATCATTGATGTCCAGTTGTGGTGCTGTCCCTATGGCAAGTGTCGGATTTCACTTGCCACAATTGTAGTACAAGAGTATCTGCAAAACGAAAATGCGTACAAACTTTCGCTCTTCGTCATGAAGTGCGAAACTTCGCACGGACTTTCGCAACTTTGGATGCGAAACGTGCAGGGAACGCGAACTGAACTTTCTTGGCGTGAGATCGGGTCATGACGTACGTGCACCTGGCGCGTGTAAACTACGAAAGTGTGCAGAAAGCAAAGTTCGTGCGAAAATCCGTACACACTTTCGCAAGGACCGCCGCGAAAGTTCGTTTGAATTTTCGTTTTGCAGGGGTCTGCGACGCCAGAACTTCACATCACGTGATGAACCCGTGCACTCTGTGCATGATAGATACTGAGTTGTACGCAGCCCAGCTTTGGGTACAACTCTCTTGTGGTCACTTTGCACTGTTTGCCAGCATAACCTTTTGAACCATGTCACGTGATGTGAAGTTCTGCCGTCGCAGCACAGCATAGAGGTTGTGCAGGCAGTTGCACACTCTTGGGGTTATGTACTCTTGCTGATACCCATTCTATGGGGTTCACTCACATTAAGTGGTGTTTTGTTTGCGTTGTACGTTTCCAGCCCGTTATTAGCGGCAGAGTAACAAAACTTACAAAAGAAGCCCTTCCTAACAGAAATCACTGCGCGTATGCAACTCCCCAGCATGATCATGTCAGATATTCGGATTGCGCGCACGCTATCCTTCATCGTACGTACTTCCTCCGCGTCATTAAAATTGTCGCTTCCCAGAGCGATTTTACGAATTTATTTTGTCCACTCGAAGGGCAAAGAAATCAGCTAGAAATTGAGGCAGAGCATTGTCGACGGACCACGCTTTAGTTTGTGGCCCCCCGCTTTGCTGCACTTGCAGCTAAGGTCGACGTCTTCATCACAACATCAGAGTTTGAGGCAGACCCTTCAGCACTCAACAATACACTGAACAAGGCGCGCGGTCAAATAATTCAGGTCAAGAAACTTCGTTTTCAAGCGATCCATGCCTCCAGGTGGCAGGCGATCAAGGCAAGCTAGCATTTTTCAAGTACACTGTAACGACCTTCCAGCGGGATAGGGTAAGTAGTTCCGCACCTTCTTTCCTTGGCAAGCGCTTCGCTGATTTTGTTCGTGTTTTCAGACCTGCTACCTTCGCAGCAACATGCGCCACCAGTAGCGCATTTTAGGAATTTGAGACTGCTTTGTTCTTGCCATCGTCAACTTCAGCATTTCGTGTTCAGGAGAGATACCAGGATTCTTATACCCGAGCTTGCAGTCTTGATATATGCCCACGCGAACGATGTGGGACGGCACGAACTCCAGAAAACGAAATGCGCTCTGGGGGGAATAGTGCGGAGCGCGATGAATTTGCTTGGTGTGGAAGAGCGCTCCGACTAAGTCCGAGACCACCACGGCTTCAGTGACAAGTAGACATTGCGCAGGAAGGGTCGCACCAGTTTACGAACACCGAAAACAGCGATTCCGACAGTCTGATTAAGACGAGCCAGGTCTCAAATATTGCGATGTGCGAAGCGACAATTTTAATGACGCGGAGGAAGTAGTACGCACCACACCTGAGACACGTGATGTGAGTTTTCGCCGTCAAAGACCCCATATACAGAGTTGCACACTCTTGGGAGCATGCATACTCTTGATCCCATGCACACCAACCACATGTACACATCCCGAGTACCCCCCATGAACACATATCTCGTGCAGACCTGCACACCCCCCCCCCCCCCCCACACACACACCTCCAGTGCAGTGTACACCCCCCCCCCCCCCCCCCCACACACACACACACTAGACATAGCCCGATTTTGCTAGCAATTCTGTTAGCAAAATATCGAAGAATTTTGACAAGGGAATTTGCTGGCAAAACGGAGCAAAATATCGGTATGTTCGTTGGAAATTGGGAGATTTTACAATTCTACGGTGCACGTGACTCATCTCCGCACATTTTTGCCAACACGTGACTCATTTTTTCTCAGTTTGCCAACATGTGATCCACTTTCGATCGGTTTTCTCACATGTGACACAAACTTGGCCTCGGATCAGAGCAAAAGGAGAGCAAAATATCGAAGCTTCACTGTCAAAATCGGGCTTTACCTACCCCCCCCCCCCCCCCCCCCCACACACACACACATCAGGTCAGAGCACGCACCTTCTTGACGACTCTCTGTTTGATGGTCTGGTCGACAAGCGGGTGAGTGGTCATGTCGAAGAGCCAGAAGTTCTGCTTGCTGGTGGTCAGCACGCCCTTCTCCACCAAGTTCTTGGCTAACCTCTCCCGAACATTGTGCAGCTGATAGCGCAGGTTGTACGGGTTCCACGTCTCGCCTGAAGAAACATGTCAGAAGAAAGAGTAAAGAGGTCGTTGAATGTCTCAGAAACATTTCAGTTTTGTGCCCTGTTATCGCACTTTCTGACCGTTTATTATCTTGTTACAGTCGTGGATAGTTGCTTCATAACTCGTTTCCATGTGATTTCTTCTATTTAAAGAGAAACACATTTGAACATCGATGCTGAGCCAAATGTCATCATGGAATAAAGGAAGGATCAAATGTCACCCGAACAAACATGTAAGAAGAAAGAGAGAAGTATTAGATGCACTGTAAAATCCTGCCAGAGCGCCTCTATACCTCCGCCACCCTTCGAGTAGGTCCAGGTGGGGAGGGGCGGATGGGCGAGTCCTACTTGCCGCATTCGGTACTACATGAAAAAGTACTCACCCTACGAAAACTGTGCGTGCGTCTCGTACATCGACCAAAGGTCAAGAGCAGGGAGTCGTACAGATTCATCAAAACCCAGGGTTTGTGCGATCCCTGGTCAAGAGGGTGCGAATTTGCCTCAAGCTTATGAACATTGTAAATTTGTCACTGATCAAACATTGAGGTTGGGGCATGTGCGCCTGCATCATTATTCATATCTTCAGCCAGCGTACTGCGATACACTGCTTGCTCACTTATGGTTGTGAAGATACAACAGAATACACATCATTCTTTACCCACTGACGGTGTTGTTCAGAACAACGAAACGTCTGGAGAAGTATCGTAAATATTTCTATCTTTATTTATCACCACTCTTTGGTCTAGAAAGAATACTTTTTGATATTAGAACACACACACAGAACTGATACCAAGAGTACATGACCTCCAAGAGTGTGCAACTGCCTGCACAGCCTCTATCTACAGTCAGTTTCAAAAAGATTAGCAATCCTGGTGATCGCCCGGGGAGTTTGCCGTCTTACCGTATGAGCGCTCGAGCGCTGCCTGGAAAAACTCACTGTGAACTCGAAGAAATATTCCGCGCGAAAGCATGAAAAATGACAACTCACTCAGGTCGATGTCGGTACAGTCGTGTACGGTCTGGTTCACAACAAACGAGTTCTTCCTCGTATCGATTATGGAGTCAGAGAGGACATGTCGAAAGTGTAGTAAATGCCGAGGCTGACGAGCGGCATGGGTCCCAATATGTTTTGTGACCAAATAGTTTCTTTGAGCTGCGATGCAGTTTACTCTCACCATGTGACGAAAACGACATCGACACAGACTCATTCCCAAGGCCATGACTTGGCGAAGCTATCCGTATGACTTCGACAACATTTTGAGAAAAGCAGACGCCTGTGGAAGCTGATAGAAGACGGCGTTGACTTCTAAATTCAAATAAATTGGCGATCTTGAAATACTAAAATAATTCTCAAAAAGAAATCGATCGATCGATGTGCCGGTGTATTCAACACGTAGCTACAGCGCAATGACTTCCATATTCACTCACACCGTTTCAGTGTTGTGGGTGTGTTCACATGGCGTGAGCCAGTCAAGTGCCAGTCAGTTCGGGAGGAAGCGGGAGCTAACAACAACCGTGAACAACAACAAGTCTGCTTGATCACCAAAAAACAATGAAAAAAAGTGTGAGTTGAAGATAGGTTGGGATTTGAACTCACAACTTCATGGTCAGCAGACAGCATCCATAACCACAAGGCCAGAAAGGAAAAGATAAATCGTGGGTTTTGATAGAAAAATCGATACTGGCTTCCAGGGCAAATTGCAAACCAAGGGAAAAGGCCGGAAACCTGGCCGAAATTCTAACTCCTTAACGGCTGGTCCAATTGTTCCGAAACCTTCACAGAACAATTTGCCGTGCCCTAACCAGCCCTTTTATGTACTTTGTTGTCCAAATTTCTCTTATCTTCATACTTTTTAAGACCAAAACCTAATTGCTAATCTTTTTGAAACAGACTATAGTGGTGCGGCGGCAGAACCTCACGCTACGTGACATGGTTCAAAACCCAAAAGGTTATGCTGGCAAACAGTGCAAAGTGACCACAAGAGAGTGGAACCCAAAGCTGGGTTGCGTACCCCCTGTATCTATCATTCACAGGGTGCAGATCATGCGTACGGGTTTGTCACGTGATCTGAAGTTCTGCCGTCGCAGACCCCATAGCTGGGGTTTAAGCGGGATTCACAGAAGCTTTTTTGCGATGCGACACGCGATGCGACGCGATCTGCGACGGATGCGTGCGATGCGAACTCGCGAAATACCATTCACAGAAGAAGTCAGTGATGCGACAACATCTTGCTGATTTGGCTACGTCACCATGATATTCGCGCGGTTTGATACAACTTGTACAAATTTATAGGCAACTCTTGAACCTTTGTACAACTTTGCTGTAGAAAAGGTCAAAATCGTACGCCAAATCGCTTGTCGCATCGCATCGCAAAAGTTGAGCCAAGCTCAACTTCTGCGATGGCCTGCGATGGCCCTGTTGCGGCAGTTGCGTGGGGTCCGCGATGGTTGCGATTTGGGGATTTCCTGGTTTCGCGGCTGTCGCATCGCGTGTCGCATCGCAAAAAAGCTTCTGTGAATCCCGCTTTAGTCGCAGTCTTGGAGGGTACTCTAATTTCAGAAATTTTCGGTGCCCAATATTTTCGGTACGAGGGCAAAAGGTCAGGTTAGGTGAAAAGAAATTTAGGTACAGAGAACCAGTTCCCTATTGGACTATGCGTGTTAGTGTTTGTTCGGTGTATTGACATTTTAGGTATGAAACAGATGCACCGAAAGTACCGGAAATAAAAGTACACCGAAAAATGTGTGAAATTCCAGTATGTACTCTTGTGGATACCCTGGGACTAGACGCATCTGCACTGATTACTGTAATTTCACAAATTTTCGGTGTACTTCTATTTTTGGTACTCTCGATGCGTCTGTTTCTGACTTTCATACCTAAAATTTCAATACACCAAACACTAACGCACATAATCCAATAGGGAACTGCTTTTCTGCACCTAAAATTTCTGTTCACCTAACCTGGCCCTTTGCTCTCATACCGAAAATATTGAGCACATACAATTTCTGAAATTAGAGTAGCTCGCCTTCACTCGCACTGCGATCCAACACACGGCCATGCACTCAAGCGAGCAAATTTCATGGCAAACGCCTTGCCAGGTGGCGTGCGCTCGCCCATTGCCTCACGCACATGCTCACATATCTACCGTATTTTCCCGATTGTAAGTCGCATCCCCATTTCTAGGTCCATGTCATATCGTTTCATATTATATTCACTTCAGCAGTAAGTCATATTATATTCATTTCAGCAGTAAGTCATAATTATATTCACTTCAGCAGTAAGTCATATTATATTCATTTCAGCAGTAAGTCATATTATATTCACTTCAGCAGTAAGTCATATTATATTCACTTCAGCAGTAAGTCATATTATATTCACTTCAGCAGTAAGTCATAATTATATTCATTTCAGCAGTAAGTCATGCTCGATTGTAAAGCGGGATTCACAGAAGCTTTTTTGCGATGCGACACGCGATGCGACGCGATCTGCGATGGATGCGTGCGATGCGAACTCGCGAAATACCATTCACAGAAGAAGTCAGCGATGCGACAAAGTTTTGCTGATTTGGGTACGTCACCATGATATTCGCGCGGTTTGACACAACTTGTAAAAATTTATAGGCAACTCTTGCACCTTTGTACAACTTTGCTGTAGAAAAGGTCAAAATCGTACACCAAATCGCTTGTCGCATCGCATCGCATCGCAAAAGTTGAGCCAAGCTCAACTTCTGCGATGGCCTGCGATGGCCCAGTTGCGGCAGTTGCGTGGGGTGCGACATGGCTGCGATTTGGGGTTTTCCCGGTTTCGCGTCTGTCGCATCGCGTGTCGCATCGCAAAAAAGCTTCTGTGAATCCCGCTTTAGGGGGCGTTCGTTTTTTATCTACAGGTTTGGGTAGAAACTACTTCTTGCGGTAGAGGTGTTCGTTTTTTGAAAAAAAATTCTACTCAAAAGGGTAGATTCTACTTTCCTCTACCGGCTCTACCGGGAAAAAGTTGGTAGAATCTGGTAGAAGTTGGTAGAGCTACGGGATTTCCAGCAAGATCAAGGATTTGTACACAACTCCATAAAAAAAAGAAACATTTCACATACACATCGTGTAAACTACTAGATCTGGTAGAACAGCGTTCGTACACTTGCCTCTACCATCTACCTCTATCGGTAGAGTGACTCTACTCTACTCTACCAGGTAGCTAAAAACGAACGCAGCCTAAGTCGCACCCCCTTGTTGGTCCTGAAGTTATGTGTAAAAGGTGTGACTTATATGCGGGGAACAACCCTCATCCTGGGTCATTATAAGAGACCTGGGCGTTTATTAGAGAAAATACGGTACGCTAGCAATAGATGTGCACGTAGTCGGCAGATATGCCAGTGGGCTAGAGCATTGAGAACTCCCGTGCCATTCCAGAGCAATACACACAAAAATGCAATGCTCTCCCAGTCCAACAGAGAAATAACGTAAAGTTAGCCGGATTCGCGGCCGCATCACCAGCAAAGACATTCGCATCGGCGGGCCACCACTTCGCCCATATATCCTCAGTGTTGAATGCAGACCTCGCAAGTGAGTCAGGGGAGAGGGGATAAGTCTCTCAACAAGCGGGCGAAATAGCAGGGATGAGCCAGTAGACAAATCCAACATCATACAAGGTACTGGTCAGTCAGGGGCAGGACACGCGTAGGTGCGGATCACAAAACATACACGGAAGCAATGGACCCATTGCGCAATGGCGTAATTTGTACCATAAACACCCCACACAGCCACCTGGGCATGGTCGTGTCTGGGGGTGTTGAACAGTGCATTCCTGATCCCAGTGTACTCACAAGCATTACTCACACATTCCATATTTGGCAATGCGCAATGGGTCTCCAGTTCCTTGTCACTTGAAAGTTGAAACGGATAGTGCAACAAACAGCTGCAATTAATTAGCTCACGACCAGCTGTCCAGCCTGGCTCATGGCGGGGGTGTTGATATTGTGTGTGCATGCGTGTGCGCACGCATTGTTGCCTATTACATTTCGAAAGATTTTCTCCAAGCAAATGCACTGGTCAGGGGAGTCTCCTATATTATGAGAAAACATGCGAAATGTAAAGTGTGTGTGTGCGTGTGAGTATGTGCATGTGTGAGTGTGTGTGTGAGTGTGATGTTTGAACATCATTGCCGAGTCTGAAATCAACGCCAGTTTCGGAGGCGACAGGACCTGGAGCGCCAGTTGAAGCACTGCCTACCTCTCCCCTAGCCTCTCTGACAGTACCTCCCTTCGGGGAGGGGCGTGGCCATTTCTGCCAGCTGTCAATAGTAGTAGTAGTAGTGTGCGTGTGTGTGTGTGTGTGTGTGTGTGCGTGTGTGCGTGGGTCTGGGCGGTGTATGTAGGCATACACATATGTGTTGGGTATGTTGTTGTGTTTATTTTAATTCGCGATTCAAACGGGCAAGTATGCCCAATTGCAGGAATGCGGATATATACGTGTACATGTGTGTGTGTGTGTGTGTGTGTGTGTGCGCGCGCACAAGTTTATGTCTGTGTATCCACGAGCGCGTACACTGACTAAGGAGTCACGCTATCCAGGGAAACAGCAGGCGATCACGACAAACGAAAGTAGATGCATCCAGCCTCGAGCATAGGTTTGCCCAAAACCAGTTGATGACTAGAAATGACAAATAATAATGCAAGAGGACGAATCTGCACTGCTCCAGCAGGAGTGTGCGGAGCTGGCCACGCAGGCACAAACCCCATATCACTAGCTGTTGCAAATACACTTGCGTGCTGTGTTTGCTTGCGCGTCAGGCGAGTGGCGTGCATGTGTGTGTGTGTGTGTGTGCGCGCGCGCATATATGCAAGCATGTGCGGACTTGTGCACGTGCATGTGTGTTGTGTGTGCGAGCATGCGTGTGTGTTTGTGCATGTGTATGCGCGCACGTGCGGGCATGCGTGTGTGTACGTGCCATGAACACAGCTCATAGTGACCCAGCTACAAAAACCTGGACACACCTATCCAAATCCTACCAGCACTTTCTTTGTTGGAACAGTGACATCCTTTATCTCGTTACATGTACCATGCATGTCGCCACAGGCGGGGACATGACTCATCGACATCGCAAAACGTGTACCAGATCAGAGCTATTTGTTCGTAAAAATAAACCTCAATCAGATCGATTGTCAGTACTTGGTAGGATCCTGCTTTGCCTCTATGCCTTAGGAAATGGCATATGCAAGGAACGCGAATGATCAAAGACCACACCTGTCAGCACTACCCTCATTACATTGACCGACATACGACAAAAAGATAATGCATCCACCCTTATTAAGATAATGCAGTTCAACGAATACTCACCACAGAAGAGTTCGATCCAATTTCCAACGGTGTCAGTGGGCTGCGTTTCTTTCAGATGCTTCAAAGATTCGTCCATCAGAGCATCACCGGTTGGCGAGCTGCTTTTGCAGATCACTTTTCTACTGAGCACGCTCTTTCTCCTTTGCCCAGTCTTCTCCAACTCTACGCGTTTCCTCAACGACAGCTCCACCATGATACATCCTCGCAAACCAGACGATATGCAATCGTTCCAGAACGACGTGTAGCCCTAACAAAACAGAATACGAACCACCTCCCTTGAACAACAATCCACAACAACCTCCACAATACAACAAAGGAAAAGTCAACATACCTCTTGATCCTTCAGGCCTAGCAGCAGTATCTCCTCCAATAGAGTCAGCTTCGCCTCTTTGTCGTCGTAGGAATCCTCTTCTGTTGGCGCCGCATCGTTGTCGGCACTCTGAGACGAAGCAGCCGCAGCTGCTGCACCACCTCGGTGTCTCTGTACGAGCGTTCCGCTGTGCGCGGTGGCCATCTTCACTTGCAAACAGCAAACTGTTTATTTCTCCTCACTGCCTAAACTTTGCAATGCATTACTGACTACCCTCGTTGTTTGAAGCTCTGCTTCTAATCTTCGATCGCACGGCTTCGACCTTCGTGCATGCATGTGATCATGGTGATCGTGATTTGCCTGACACTGCTTGAAATCTGTTATTCCTGATTTTGTCGCGTTATCCTGGTACATTTCAACTTGTAAACCGCATCAAACATGTCGGTAATGCCTATTTCGTACGAGTAGGCTTCTTTTTCATAACACGCCTACAGGTTTTGAATTTTGAATGAGATTATGTGACAAAACGCACCGGTTGCCAAGATGTCAAGTGGTAAAAAAAGGCACATAATAATGTACACAATCATTGCAATCGTTTGCCGGTTTGGTCCTGGCAAAACATGATTCAGCCCCATCAACAAGCGACACGACTGAAGGAAGGCTTTATAACGAGGTTTGTCGTGTCCAGGGATATGGATCCTAGCCCAAAGCCAGGCAAAGGGCCAAGGCCATGAACACTGCCTTCAGGGCTCCCTCTTCATCTTCCTTTTTTTTTTATAGGGCCTCTCCCTGGCTGACGTGTGCAGGGTACTCATACTCGTCATACTCATGGCGTCATGCCATCATAGATTTCGAAATTAATTATTTTGAGAGTGACTGCTTGATCGTCTTTTCGATCATTTTCATTTCAATGTATTACAGTACAATCATGTAGATCTACTTGGAAGATCAATCATTCAGCGGTGCTGCCAGAATCGTGGACTTATCGGCAGTATTCACGGCGTCCTGAAATGGACCCCATGCATTACACAGGCCAGGGGCGATATGTATGTGGAAGGCTCGAGTGGATCGTACGTAGCTTGGTGCTTGGTAGTTTTGTGACGATGATAATGAAGTCGATAACTGTGGGCATTGGGGGTCGAAATATGTACAAGTAGATCTACTCATTGTACTTCGCTTATCTCGACGACTACAGCCTTTCGGGTAGCAAGTTAGTTAGTTTTTGTTGTTGTTGATGCAGAGCTGTGTTGTTGTGCACTGCATGCGGCCGGTGTAGGCTGGCTAGCTACAACTAACTTACAAGTACACTGAGATTGCCAGACCTAGATGTGACTTGACTGTTTTGAGTGACAACAGTTGTGCCCAGCCCCAAGCCCTGGCATGGCGCGGGCCTGAGTCAAGCTTTGCATGCTGCTCAGCTCACTGGTCCATATCCACACAGTCACTGCTTCCTTTGTATGAACACCTGAATCTGTGACTGTGTCTTGTAAAGTTGTATGATTGTGTGTGTGTGTGTGTGTGTGTGTGTGTGTGTGTGTGTGTGTGTGTGTGTGTGTGTGTGTGTGTGTGTGTGTGTGTGTGTGTGTACATGGTGTGTGTGCTGTGGTGTGGTGTATGTGCTATGTGTGTGTGGTGGCTGTGCTGTAGAGCTATGGCTTGTGTCCAACCCATCAAAAGAGCAATAATGACAATACATATGCCCTAGGCCAGGCCCTCTCAGAGAGCCACTTGAAGCTGTTCCATCCACTTTGCCCGTCAGAGAAGCTCCTGCCATCAGCAGCTGCACCTCTGAGTCTGAGTCTGCACTATAATCACTGAGTCTGTAGTGTACATTGTGACAGTAGAGTTCTGGACTTCCCCAGGCCTAAACAAATCTGTAAACATGGTGAAGGACCCTCCCAAAACTATCCATAGTAGTCCTTGAAAGAAGCGTTATTTGCTTCAGACTGTGACCGACTCAATGGTCCCTTACGTCCCCTCCCAAATGCAGAGTGATTTCTACCCTGCACATTGTGATTCACAACTCAAGCAATACCACAGCTACAGGTACAGGTTCTGTAATTTCACAAATTTTCAGTGTACAGTCAAACCTCATTAGGACGAACATCAAGGGACCGATGATATTTTTTCGCAATAACGGGAGTTCTTCTTATCCATGTGTTTTACCCAGTGAATACACAGGGTGTTATCCAATACAGTTACAAATACTAGTTCTTCTTAGGCAAACATTTGTCTTATCAGTCGGTTCTTCCTAACCAGGTTTCACTGTAGTTTGATTTTCGGTACCTGCGGTACATCTGTTTCATACCCAAAATTTGAATACACCGAACAAACACAAACACACATAATCCAATAAGGAACTGGTTCTCTGTACCTAACATTTCTGTCAACCTAACCTGGCCTTTTGCCCTCATACCGAAAATACTGAGCACCGAAAATATCTGAAGTTGGAGTACTTAGTTAGGCCATACATGTACATGCTGGCGACACTCTCCAAGCGGTCTCCGGGCTATACCAATCACTGACAAAGAATAGAATCATACGAATTTCGGGCAAGGCCTATGTTCAGGAACGTGATGGTCAACTGGGTGTTCTGGCTTTAGCCCCCACCCTGTTCATTTCAGGGACGCCGCAGCCGATCACACACAGCACACACACACACACACACACACACACACACACACACACACAGTGACACACACAGCACACGCACACAGTACACAGAGTTTGTGCGGGTGACTCCGCCATCTCTCTACGGAAATGTCTTCTGCATTCAGGCATGCCGAGTAGTCTTGTAAAAATGACAATGCTGCACATGAAGTAAAATCTGCGTAAGATGCACAAAATCCGGCCGTGGCGCGCCGTGCCATAAAAAAATACCATATCGGAACACACAAACCTCATTGAAATCACATGGAGGAAACACATCCACAATAGGATATACATGAGCGTGTACACGATAAGAGACTAGGAAATAGGGAGCAGTAAAAGACTGATTTTCAGCAAGCCCTTGAAAAATATCAATAATATCAATCGAACCGGCTCGATGGCCTCGTCACTCATGCAAGAATTCAACAAGAAGTCAAGCAATTTCAGAAGAAGAGAAACGCAGGCAAAAATGGCTTTGCCAGTGTATGGGAATATAGATTGTAGGCTAGTGCCTATCGTGTCAATGTCCGCTGGCATGCCATGAAGAGGATAGCCTGTATCCACGGCCATGGACGGACAGACGGACGGATATAGCACACTGCAGTTGTGTTTGTACTGACGGCATGGCCATTGATGCTCCTGTTCTGTAAGTCAGGTGCCCTAGCACACATTGGTAAAGAGGTCTCTCGGAGAGACTCGCTGCTCGGCCAAGTAAAGTTCGCACATCCGCATTACAACCGGCAATCGTGTTGAGAAACACAACCAGCTTTAATAGTGATAAAAAAAGTTTTCAAGAATACGGCTAGCCGGCTCTGGGCCAGAAGCAGGGAGTAGTAAAATACCGGTATTTTACTACTGCTCTATGGTTAGAAGCAAAATCTGCATCAAGAGCAGTTACGGGAAATCCCGTCGTCGACAATAGGGAGATAACATTGGGGTAGAGGAGACGCCGGCGTGGAGGAGTAATGCGATCATATGGACACACACACACGTAAAGTACCGGTATACAAATAATGGCGAATTGATAAAAGATATAAAAAGCAATGCGACGGCAAATCCATCAGGCGGGCACCCTACCCATACAAATCATGTGATGATGGCCTTCATGGCAAAGGAGAATCCAGCCCCCGCCGTGAGACCCGCTCCAAGGCAGAACGCCATCATGGTTCCCGTCGTTTCTCTTTCATGAGGTTCAACGAGGCTAGACGCATGAACACACACATGAACACACACACACACACACTATGTACCATGTATACGCCAGTCGCAAGAGAAGCCTGCAGCTCTGCAGATGCACTGGATGTGCACCCACGCATTGTCTCTCATAGTAACGATAGCGGATAAAATACACACACAAACACACACACACACCATGTACTGAGTACCATGGATACGCCAGTCGCAAGAGAAGCCCGCAGATCTGCAAATGCACTGGATGTGCACCCACACATTTTCTCTCATAGTAACGATAGCGGATAAAATACACACATACGCGCACGTGCACACACACACACACACACACACATGCACACACACACATACACACGTGCACACACACACACACAGTGACACACACATCGACAACGGCAACACTTACCCTGGTGCCGTCATCATGCACAAGCTACTGATGTAGCCATTGGACAGGGCCAGTAGCGACATAAACAGCACTGGGTAGACATCACTGTCAAACACCACGGACATTGTACGGTCATCAGGGTATGCATTGCAGAGTGCAAACAGAGGCAGGAAGCCTAGACGCAGGAAGCTGATGATACAGATGGACCGTGGACCGAGCTGCAGCGACAAGAAATGCACAGCATACATCATCCCCCTTAGTGAGAGGATAATACTTATGTTCACTAAGCGATCATCAGAACACAGTTTTCTGATGATCGCTTAGTGCTTGAAACTCGGAGTTAAAACACTTTCCATCCTCTTATCATTGTTTTAAACAAGCTCTGCCTTTCGGTATTGAGTACTCTATTGGAGTTGTAATCCCTTAGGCCCCGGGGTGGTACGTCCGGTTAAATATCACAACTTGAACTTATAGATATTGCAGCCCTCTCCGTTGGAGTTGTAATTCCCAAGGCCCCAGGGTGGTGTGTCTGGGGAAACATCTGCACGGTCTGCACGTGTACAGATACGACATCTGCCACCACCCTGGGTGCTCTCTAAAATACCTATCCTGCCACACTCACCAGCTGCACCATACCGGCTGCAGTACGACCAGCGTAGTCACCAGCATTGAACAGCAGGAAGGTGGTCAGTGACACAAAGTACTTGTCTGCACAGTAGCATACAAACACGAATACACACACACACACACACACACACACACACACACACACACACACACACACATACACACACACACACACACACACACACGCGCACGCACACACACACACACACACACACACATTGGATACTCTCGCGGTGAATCATGTATTTTTTTCTCTCTACAAAATCCACATATCTCCAGACACTGGGGTGAATAATGGAGTGTGGTGGTGGGTTAAGCTCAGCCGACCAGAGGTCTCGGCTTCATAACTCCATGGACGCACAGGGGTTGATGTATTTGCCCGTTAGAAGCTGACAACACCCTCCCCTGCACTAGGGGTCTCGCATTCCCCGTTAAACGACGGACAAACGCCGGGCCGTAAGTCTACTGCCTCTTTTCAAGTTCGGTCTCTACGTCGTAACGGTTTGGCTTCTAACAGGTAAAATGCGGTATATTGGCAATGAATGAATGCACTTGTAATGAATATGATCGGGACACGTAAACACCGCTGCATGATGACTATCACATGCATGATATTTTTAAAAGTCAGCAAAAGTTCAATTTTAAAAGGCATTGTGCACTGTGTACAGATGAAGGAATTCCGAGGTTCATACGCACACACACGCACGCACATGTGTGTGCACACATTCACACATATGCACACAAACACGCACACACATACACACACACACACACACACACACACACACATGCACACACACACACACACACACACACACACACACACACAATGTATACGGCGTACCTTGCCACACATTGAGTTTGACATTGGCGTGTCTGGCAGCTACGCTGGCAACACTCTGTGATACGGCCGGGAATACGGCAAGCGTCACGAAGAATATACCTGCCACTGACAGGGCTAGGTGATAGATCTACAGACGAGACAGCATGTGCATACACACACCACACACCCGTACCCCCCCCCCCCCCCCCCCCACACACACACACATGCATACACACGCACATACACACACACACACACACACACACACACACACACACACACACACACATGCATACGCACGCACATACACACACACACACACGCACACACATAGCACAGAACGCCATTCAGTCCACATCTAGACGTGCCATTTACCAACGTCTCCAAACACATGGAAATTATCACCAGTGTAGCAGGCCTGCATGATAGCCAGTGCATCAACACCATGCAATGCATTTTCGCCAGCCATACCGATGTTCATCTGTTCGACAGAGACAAGAAGCAGTGGATTATCACGCTGTCGTGCCTAGAGTTGCTGCGGCCTGACAGGCGAGTCGCACCACTAGCTGGAACAGCGGTCGCCTGTTCAAATCACTCGCCGAAAAGCAGTTGCTGCACGCAGAAGAAGATCGGCAATACATTCTGAACCCTTTGCTCAAGGATATCAAGAGTTGCGGATCGAAGGAAACGTGTCAAGCAGTAATTATTAACTGGATGGAATAAGGTATCGCAAGGATGAGTATTTAGTAAATACATGCCTTACGTTAACCACTCGCGGAGGCTTGTGAACGGTGCGAATAGCCTATATACAGTTGCCCAGAAAGACACTACTCGGCTGTCAAATCACCCCAGTCGTAAAGCACTACGCCAAGGGTTGGGTAGCTATCTACTTGCATCATTATCAGGATTGCCTGATCAGAAGCTAGGGACGAAAGCGGGGCTGGTGGATGCCATGAAAATATCGAGCGAAAACTTTAAAAGTCGACCAAAGATCTGCATTCCTTTGCCTTTGGCGCATTGATGTACCTGTTAACCCATTCACCGCTAAAGACGTATATATACGTCATTGAGAATGACCCCCAGGCGCTGAGGACGTATATATACGTCCTAGTATAAATAGCCGATTTGAGTCTTCCCTCTTGTGTGTAGTCGTCCCTGGTCGATTGGTACAGTTCCTGCCTTAAGTACGAGAGGTTGCGGGTACAAACCCAGCTTTGTTACACGATGCGTCTCTTTTTTTCTTCTTTTTCGTGCCGTGATTCAACTCAAATTGTCGACTTTTTCGTATTTTATGCAATTTGGAAGAACTTACGTCTCATATAGCACTTTGTTCCTCTTTTTGGGAACTATATCGAATTGGTCAGCGTGATGATCATAGCCTTGGTCAACCTTTCACAAGAGTTCAACAACCTGGTTACCTAGAGTATGAAGTTGTGGAGCTTTACATTGGCCCTATTTTTAGTAAATTCTTCAGAGCCTCAGATGAAAGGCCCTGTAGCCCTCAATGGGTTAAGAGATGTGACAGGTTTGGTCAAGAGTAGCGGATCAAAGGAAACGTGTCAAGCAGTAATTATCAACTCGATGAAACCAGGTATCACACGGATGACTGAATACACGCCTTACGTTAACCGCTCGCTGAGGCTTGTGAACTTTGCGAATAGCCTATGCAAAGTTGCCCAGAAAGACAGAACATTGTTATCATCTCTTGGGCCTTGAGGATCTGAACACATTTCCTCTTACCGACATAGTTGATGAGTGGACCTCTGACCCGGATTACCATTGTGATATCAACTATTACGACAATTACACTCTGGACCATGATATAGCTGGGCCACGAGAATTGGTCGACATGGCTGCAAAGCTCACAAAATCACTCAGTTCTGAAGCTGCTAATAATGGGTAGCCCAAGGACATTGAATCCGAGGAGAATTACTTCTCGGCTGTCTTCGAATATGATGAGTTCTGGATTAGTTTGTGTAAGTCAAGTTACCCCAGTCATAAAGCACTACGCCAAGGGTTGGGTAGCTATGTACTTGCGTCATTATCAGGATTGCCTGATCAGAAGCTAGGGACGAAAGAGGAGCTGGTGGACGCCATGAAAATACCGAGCGAAAACTTAAGTCGACCAAAGATCTGTATTCCTTTGCCTTTGAACCATTGATGTACCTGTTAGGAGATGTGACGGATTTGGTCAAGAATTGTGGGTCGAAGGAACGTGTCAAGCGGTAATTATCAACTTGATGGAACCAGGTATCACAAGGTTGACTGAATACACGCCTTACGTTAACCGCTCGCGGAGGCTTGTGAACTTTGCGAATAGCCTATGCAAAGTTGCCCTGAAAGACACACCATTGTTATCATCTCTTGGGCCTTGAGGATCTGAACACATTTCCTCTTACGGACATAGTTGACAAGTAGACCTCTAACCCAGACTATCATTGTGATAATCAACTATTAGGACAAATACATTCTGGACCGTGATATAGCTAGGCCCCGAGAATTGGTCGACATGGCCGCAAAGCTCACAAAAATCACTTAGTTCTGAGCCTGCTAATAATGGGTAGCCCAAGGACATTGAATCCGAGGAGAATTACTTCTCGGCTGTCTTGGAATGTTCTGGATTAGTTTGTTGAAGTCAAGTCACCCCAGTCATAAAGCACTACGCCAAGGGTTGGGTAGCTATGTACTTGCATCATTATCAGGATTGCCTGATCAGAAGCTAGGGACGAAAGCGGGGCTGGTGGACACCATGAAAGTATCGAGCGAAAACTTTAAAAGTCGACCAAAGATCTGTATTCCTTTGCATTTGAACCATTGGTGTACCTGTTAAGAGATGTGACAGGTTTGGTCAAGAGTAGCGGATCGAAGGAAACGTGTCAAGCAGTGATTATCAACTCGATGAAACCAGGTATCACACGGTTGACTGAATACACACCTTACGTTAACCGCTCGCTGAGGCTTGTGAACATAGCAAATAGCCTATACAAAGTTGGCCAAAAGACAGAACATTGTTATCATCTCTTGGGCCTTGAGGATCTGAACACATTTCCTTTTACCGACATAGTTGATGAGTGGACCTCTGACCCGGATGATCATTGTGATATCAACTATTCGGACAGTTATATTCCGGACCATGATATAGCTGGGCCCCGAGAATTGGTCGACATGGCCGTAAAGCTCACAAAAATCACCCAGTTCTGAGGCTGCTAATAATGGGTAGCCCAAGGACATTGAATCCGAGGAGAATTACTTCTAGGCTGTCTTGGAATGTTCTGGATTAGTTTGTGTAAGTCAAGTCACCCCAGTCATAAAGCACTACGCCAAGGGTTGGGTAGCTATGTACTTGCGTCATTATCAGGATTGCCTGATCAGAAGCTAGGGACGAAAGCGGGGCTGGTGGACGACTGAATACACGCCTTGCGCTAACCACTCGCGGAGGCTTGTGAACTTTGCGAATAGCCTATACAAAGTTGCCCAGAAGACAGAACATTGTTATCATCTCTTGAGCCTTGAGGATCTGAACACATTTCGTCTTACGGACATAGTTGATGAGTGGACCTCTAACCCAGACTATCATTGTGATATCAACTATTAGGACAAATACATTCTGAACCGTGATATAGCTAGGCCCCGAGAATTGGTCGACATGGCCGCAAAGCTCACAAACATCACTTAGTTCTGAGGCTGCTAATAATGGGTAGCCCAAGGACATTGAATCCGAGGAGAATTACTTCTCGGCTGTCTTGGAATATGATGAGTTCTGGATTAGTTTGTCGAAGTCAAGTCACCCCAGTCATAAATCACTACGCCAAGGGTTGGGTAGCTATCTACTTGCATCATTATCAGGATTGCCTGATCAGAAGCTAGGGACGAAAGAGGAGCTGGTGGACACCATGAAAATATCGAGCGAAAACTTTAAAAGTCGACCAAAGATCTGTATTCCTTTGCCTTTGAACCATTGATGTACCTGTTAAGAGATGTGACGGATTTGGTCAAGAATTGCGGATCGAAGGAAACGTGTCAAGTAGTAATTATCACCCACACGCACATCAAGCAAGTGGAAGTTGGGGCTGCTGAGCTGCTGCAGCTGGATCATATCAAGTGTTTTGTAACAGAATTTGTAATCTGCGAATGGTTTGCAACAATGCATTTATACCAGGCGACCCTGCAAAGCGGGATTGTAGAAAATTCTGTTACAATGCTGGTAGATGGCAGGCAGTGCAAGAGATTAAGGCCAATGATCCTAACTAATGCTGCTGTGCCCATGTGGGGCACGGCTGTGCGCAGGTAGTCAAATGACTGCTGGGACCGGACGGTCCTGCTGTATGCTGGGGCCAATTGGCCCGGCTGCTGGACACAATGTGTCTATGCTGGTACCAGCTGGTCCTGCTGGGACCATGTGGTCCTGCTGCTGGGCAGCGCGTGCCGCCAGTGCTTGAAAGCTCATGCAGAGAATTGTTCCAAAATGCATTCAGCTGAGGGGCTTTGCTTGCTTCCCCCAGCTGAGGGGCTTTGCTTGCTTCCCCCCCTTTCTGGAGGCGCTAGAACTTAGAAGTGGGTTGTGGTGGACGGGAGAAAATTCGCACAACACTGCTGAAATTGCAAGCCAAAGTGCTCAAACAAATTTGTTTGCATACAAAGATCTCGCTGCTAACATAGTGCTGTTCGTTGCCAGCAAAGCTGCGAGTCCCACGCTTGCGCATGTGCCATTTCCCCACGCTTGGGGACGATGACAGCCGGCGTTGCGGACTGCCTGCGAGGCGCTGGCCGCGAGTGCTTCTGTGACGTGATAAACTTTGGTTTGCCCGTTGCAAACCCACATTTATCAACTTGATGGAACCAGGTATCACAAGGTTGACTGAATACACGCCTTACGTTAACCGCTCGCGGAGGCTTGTGAACTTTGCGAATAGCCTACACAAAGTTGCCCTCAAAGCCAGAACATAGTTATCAGCTCTGGTGCTTGAGGATCTGAACGTATTTCCTCTTACGGACATAGTTGACGAGTAGACCTCTAACCCAGACTATCATTGTGATAATCAACTATTAGAATAGTTACATTCTGGACCGTGATATAGCTAGGCCCCGAGAATTGGTCGACATGGCCGCAAAGCTCAGAAAAAATCACTCAGTTCTGAGACTGCTAATAATGGGTAGCCATTACTAGCCAAAGGACATTGAATCCGAGGAGAATTACTTCTCGGCTGTCCTGGAATATGATGAGTTCTGGATTAGTTTGTCGAAGTCAAGACACCCCAGTCATGAAGCACTACGCCGAGACTTGGGTAGCTATCTACTTGCATCATTATCAGGGTTGCCTGATCAGAAGCTAGGGACGAAAGTGAAGCTGGTGGACGCCATGAAAAATTATGGCAATGAACTAGTTGGCAATGCGACCAGCAAAGCTGCCACTTCCAGAGAACGCATTAAGAACGGAATACATGCAAGAAGAACAACAAGAAGACGAGTCTCAACAACAAGAAGACAAGGAGAAAGACGACGAAGAATAGGCAATAGAAGAATAGTCCAATTAGGTTTTAAACAGTTCCCCGTGTGGGGTTTGCTGCGAGTGCAGGTGTGTCTATTGCATGCACACATTGCCTTGGGGGCACATACTTATATGTGCAACTCCAGCCCGGGCTGGAGCGAGCGGGCCAGCCTGCCGAAGGTGTTTACATGTGGACGGCCGGGCTGGTCGCTAGCCTGCAGTGAGTTTATTTGCGCTGAACACACGCCAGCCCGCAGTGAGTTTATATGCGCTGAACACACGCCAGCCCGCAGTGAGTTTATATGCGCTGAACACACGCCAGGCCGCTGTGAGTATGAAACAAACACACTACTACTGATGTGCTGCCCCGGGCTGAAACGCAGGGCTGCAAGTCATACTCATTTTATAATTGCATGTACACTTCGAAGCACTAGTAGCTAAAAAAACTTTTTTCTTTTCCTCTGCCGCTTTCTTTTCGCGCCTTGGGACATGCTTGCTGTGGTGTACTATTACCAGTATCACCTCGTTTCTTCTTCCTGTTTTTCACACTTTTACTTCTCCATATAAACATTTTTATGCGAGTAGTTTCAATCATGCATGTCAACAAATACACAATGCTCACAGCACGCCCTTCTTGTTGCTGTACAAAAAAAACATGCTCTCAACATCATGGATTTTCGAGAAAATATCGGGAATCCTCTTCAAAACTTCCCTCAGAAAGATAAAAATGGACTCGGATGGAGAGCCAAGGATAAATTCATAGAAAAGGAAAAGGACCAAAGAACTACAAGTGCATTGTTATCGCATGAGCTTATTGTTTAGTAGCTGGTGATGTTAGTGGACATTATAGCGTGACTTGTAGTTCCTTGGTCCTTTTCTTTTCTATATAAAGGTAAAAGTACATTATTTTGTAGTATGAACGCAGTGTCGACACCATTATGATACAATTCCTCTGTATACTGGCCTGGGCTAGTCTGTTATATAATATGTGCTTTTTCTGGCCCGCCTAGCCGGGATCCCGGGTGCCTCGAGGCGGGATCCCGCCTCGACGGGCCAGCCCGCTTGACAAGTAAACGCACAACAGGCTTTGTGTGAATCTGTGTACAAGCCCGCGGTCCTGGTTGCAGGCGGGCCAGCCCGGGCTGGAGCTGCACCCATAATCACCCCCTTAGGCTGGGTCTACACGAGAATTTTCAACCCGGGTTGAAAGTCTGTACGATGGAACAAAATAGGTGGATATTCGCATGAAGACAGTTGACCCGGGTCAAATACTGATTTGCCGCCAAAAGTCCACTTCTAGAGTCCAGTATGGTCACATGAATCCCTTCGCGCGAAATTTGCATCTGCAGTGCTGTTCAAACCTGGCGCGAGATACGCACAGAAGTACGTTAGTACGATTTCTCGTCCCGGGGTGATTTCAACCCGGGTCAAGCGCAATGCGTCATGTAAACGCGCCAGTCAATCTGTGCTCATGGCGGATTGAAACTAAACTAAACTTTTTTCGTTTCGTGAAAAGTATCGATAATGCCGGATGGCCCCTAAATGTTACCGTATTTCCACAAATAGTAGGCCGGTCTACTATTTTTTCAACCTCGTCCTAACCCGGCCTTGTAATCGAGGACGGTCTTGTATTCAAGGACGGTCTTTTATTCTTTCAACCCAGTTTGACCCCGGTCTTCTATTTTTCGCCACGCAGTTTTACCCCCATTCTTCCATTTTCTTCTACACAGTTTGAGCACGGTCTTCTACTTTTACCCACAGTTTGAGCACGGTCTTCTATTTTTAACACAAGTTTGAGACTCATTTAGTAGGCCCGGTCTTCTAATCGGAGACGGTCTTTTATTTTTTCAATCGCCCCCTGCCCTGGCCTTGTATACGAGGAAGGCGTTGTATACGAGGACGGCCTTTTATTTGCGGAAATACGGTATATAATTTTATTGGCTGAGTCTGGTTTTCCCCGTAAAGGTATTGGCGTGCAGTCCCAATGCACCGATTGGTTGGGTTTATCTGCCATCTCCTATTCATTACCATCGTCATGGCCTGTTCATAGCAGCGGCGTCGGAACCGGTGCGGCAGGTGCGGCCAAAGCCGCACCAATAATTGTTTCATCTTGGGATTTTTGAAGCAACGGAATATGGGTTATTTGGGCCCCATTGCCCTAAATTTTCCCGAAGGAGGACCCCAGGACCGTCCACCCATTCATGGTCGCACCAATGTCGAATACCGTCCGACGCCCCTGCATGGTCCTTGTTCATTTGATTTTGCCTGTATTTCACCTGACGACAAGGCTTGAAAGTATACTAGTGAAAAGCTTTCAAGATGATGTTGAAGAGCCTGAAGTGAATCCTTTTTCTCAGTGCTATCGTCTATTCTGTCTCACCTTTCGGATGATGACCCAGAAGTTGGGCATCTTCTTGGCATCGGCAACCTTGGCGTCTGCCCCACCAGTCAGCGCCTGCGTATCCGATGCATCATCATCTCCGTCGTAGCCCGACTCGTTTATACTATTGATCTCACCGTCACTGGCCTTTCCTCCTGTCATGTGACAAGAACAGGAAGATCTTGTGACCAGAACGGAAAGATCATGTGACAGGAACAGAAAGATCATGTGACTGGATCAGGAAGATCATGTGACCAGAACTGGAAGATCATATGACCACTGACCAGAACAGGAAGATCATGTGACCATAGCCAGAGGACCGTGTGACCAGCGCAGCAAAAGCATACACTCCAGAGTCCAGAGTCCAGAGACTCCAGACTACCAGATCATGTGACCAGGGTATCTACAAAGACCATGTGACCAGGGTATCGAGATCATGTGACAGGCACACAATGTGAATGGGACAGCAGTACATGTATATGCGGGACACATGCGAATATAGGGTCACAGCATGTATCAAACCACCAGATGTGTTGTGTGCGTCTGCGAGAAACCTTTACCATGTTGTTGCTTGCACTCACCTCCTTCATGTCTGGACAGGTGGTATGATACAAATGTCTGCAACAACAGCAGAACATAGCACAAACACGCGTTGTGGTGGAGAGAACAAAAGTTCAAGAAGCAGTCGCCAACCACTATCACCACCATCACATCCCGCCATTGTCCATCACCAATTAATTATCTCTTTAAAAAATTACAGGTCTACCCTTGTTAGTAAATAACCTAGGGGAGGGGGAGGGGAGGGTGAACCTGTTTGTCCTGTAACGAGCCTTATCTACTATCTGGACAGGAATGTACGCGTTTCAGGCGTCACGGTATTTCGGATCATTGTCTAAAAATGAGGTTTGTCTTGTAGCCAATGTCGTACTAACCAGGGGTAGACCCGGCTGTATTGTGCATCGCTTACTCTACTCTTGTCTTGTCTTACTCTACTCTTGTCTTGTCAGCAGCCATCCTCTTCAAATATCACCGTTTATTTGCCACATTCTAGTTCTGAATGTTTACTGTAAAGCGACAAACTTTCGCTGCGTGCAAATTTAGGGTTTTCATAAATCGGGCTGGTGCACGATGAGAAACGTTTGCGATTCTATCTCTTCGGTCGGATCTTGTACGGTCTACAATCAATGTACGGAGAGGTTTGCGGCGATTTATATTCACGAACGTGTGATGGTCGCGAAAATAGCGAAATTTAATCTCTGGCGAAGGTTTCTCACTTTCCAGCACTACGAATTAATACCGACGCATTGCCATCGCTTACCGGAAAAGACTCGTAGCATCCAGCCAGGGAGACAACATTTTTTTTACTTTTTTTCATTTTCATTTATTTTATTGATTTTCCAAAGGCAAATACTACAGTCCATTCAGAAAAAAATGAACTTCTAGCTTTTGGCCATAAATGGGTCAAACGTTGAGTTTTTTTAGAATTTTTTTCTGCAATCCTCTATGGAATCCTCTTCCAATTATGTTTCTGAAGTTTTTTTCTCCAAAAAGCAAGCCATAACAAGAATAGGATTTCGGCCAGGTTTTGCCCCCAAAGCATTGAATTGGGAAAAACCATAAAAATCCAGGCCGTTTGACCCCGTCTGCAACAGTGCATTGTGCGGTTCGAACCCCAGTTCAGGTACCCTTTTTGAACCCTTTTTCAAATTTCAACTGCACTGTGTACGATGAAATCACGAAAAATCGCCAAATACGGGAGCTCGCCAGAGCCAGAGCCCATCTTTTTATGAATGGACTGTAGTGGATGCCTGTCATGACGTCACTGTAATCTCAAGGGTGAAATTTCATGAGACCATAGTGCCCGAAATAAATCATTTCGACCACTCACTTCACTTGGAAGTTCTACATGATCCGTGGTCTCTGCGACGCGCAATCGGGACCATGACCTGCCGCCCCGACACGGCCCAATCCAGAGATGCCGTATGCAGGCATGCATGAATTAGCCTTGCCCCAAGGACGAGTGTAACGGACAGCCCAGCAGCAAAACCCACGTCATTTTAAGTGCTTCAATTCCCTGTGCCGTCTCCCTAGATGCTAACGGTTCCCCAGGCACATGTACGTGTCTTCTCCATTCACGCCAGGACTCACTTCAGGCTGCGACTACACCAGTCACGGTCTGCCTGTACCCTATACTAAATAAATATAATAATATTCGCGGGATCCGCGTTAGCATCACTTGAATGTTCAGAAACACACAAGCTATAGCCTTCGCTTCCGCAGGCCACCACTATGCCTTTACACCTTAGTGGCGAATGCAGACCTCACAAGTGAGTCAGGGGAGAGGAGGTGAGTCTCTCAACCAATCGGGCGTGTAACGGCCCATAACCCTGTAAACTGCATCCTTGTTATCCTCACTCGAGCTGTGAGTACCCAGTTGACCGTGGGTGTCGGCGCAGTTCAACACGCGTAAAAAGTCTTTTTACACGCTCCCTGCTGCCAGCGCGGGTCTCGAACTCGGGACCTCATGATTCGCAGGCAGGCCTGCAAACCAATCGGCCATATGCGTTGGTCCCCTATACTAGACCTCTCTATATGCAAGGGTGCCCTATACTAGACCTCTCTATATGCAAGGGTACCCTATCCTAGACCTCTCTATATGCAAGGGTACCCTATCCTAGACCTCTCTATATGCAAGGGTACCCTATACTAGACCTCTCTATATGCAAGGGTGCCCTATACTAGACCTCTCTATATACAAGGGTGCCCTATGCTAGGACCTCCTGTATGCAACAGACTCTCTAGATGCTAGGATTCCCTGTAAAAGGCTATAGGCTGGCTGCACGCTAGAACTCCCTGTACACTAGCACACCCTACATGCTACAGCTCGCTATCACTATGCTGGGGCTGTCTATATCATGCTTACCAGTCTAGGCATGAGGAGGATGACAGCAAGCGAGCACAGACAGAGCCAGTAGCAGAGTGGCAGAGAGGAAACTAAAATAGACTACTATAGACTACTATAGACTGTACAGTCCTTTAGGCTAGGATGTTAGGATGCTAGGATGCTAGGCTTCCTGTACGCTAGGACTCTCTGTGCATGCGAGGGCTCCCCATTATTACAGTCCGGCCTTGCTTATCCGGTCCTCTTTTATCCGGATTCCTCGCCATCCGGAAGAAAATCGATGGTTACCAAGTTACAGCATGTGCCACGCATGCATACAGTGTGTGTGTTCGATTATCCGGTTCCCTCGCCTATCCGGATGTATTTGCGCAAAACGGATGTGTGCAGTTATGCTAGGATCCTCCCCATATCATGCTTACCAATCTAGGCATGAGGATGACAGCAACCAGACAGAGCGCCAGTACCACAGTGGCGGAGAGGAAATACCCCAGGGCCATGGGCTGAACTGCACTACCGGCTGTGAGTACAGGAGAAACAGACAAACAGAGAAGAGGACAAGGTCAGATGGACACACGGATAGGCAGATGGATGGCCAGGTGGACGGATGGACAGACAGATGAGAAGCGGATAGACAGATGGACACATGGGTAGACAGGTCGACAAACGGATATACGTACAGATGGACAACCAACTAGGATGAACACATGAATCCATAGAAAATCCATGATTCACAGTTGTGTAACTCCAAAGGCTGAGACTGAGCAACCTCAGGTATGGGGTCATAGCAAGCCAAGTGACGCACACACTCACGCGCGCACAGAAAGGCACCGTGCACCAGTTCCAATCTTACCGCTGAGGGCAATGATGTTCGCTACCGCACTAAAGAGTCCGCTGAAGCCCTGCCATTGTGGACAGGGCCACAAAAGAACACGGAGAGCACAAGAGCACGCAGGGCATAGAGTGAAATGATTTCGGAACATTGAACCCCCAACACAATATCGAAAGACTTAACAACGCTTTCTTCAATATGGAATTGTATTGATGTACACCACTCAATTTGAACAAGAGATGTATCCATTTACGTATGGAGAATCCGTAAATACAGAATACGGGGGGGGGGGGCACATTGATGGGTTGACACGACACACAACTTGTGCAGCTACACTAGAAAGCCGCTTACAGCATGGGGCTCAGGGGACACATTGATGGATCGACACACAGCTCACGCAACTACTGTGCAGGCAGCGGGAATTTTATCGCACACTACACTTTCCCAAGTCCTACACCGCAATACAATTTGTCCTTACCTGTCCGCCCATAATGGCCTGTGTGTATTTGCCTTCAGAGAGGAAGGCAGCCATGCCGTACAGACCACTCTGGTAGGACGCACTGGCAGCTAATGCACATCACAACAACACACACACACAACAGGCGCGAACGGATTGGAACGAAAAGAAGCACAAGTCGAAGAACAGCACGGCAAGGAACACAAGATCGGTATTTCAAAAGCACCGGCAACCGAACACCCACACCCACACACACCATTTGAGCATTTGACGCCCATCACCTGAGGCGATGATAGCGATGCTACAGCAGAAGCCATAGCAACTTGTGCTGGTATTGCACCATTCAACAGCTTGCAACGCTGAAGAATTGACAGCCACTACTCAGCCTGGTCTACACCACACAGCTATGGAGTGGCTTTTCTGGCCAGTGAATCCCTACTTTTAGGACACACATGCATGCTTGAAACAGCTCACCGTTGACACAGAAGGCAATGATCAAGGTGACAGCAAAGAACCCGTTCTGCCAGCTGAACGTGTCCACATAGATGAGAATACACGTCACAACAAACGCCAGGAACATGATAGAGATGGAGACGACCAGGCGCTTCTGCAGCCCAATCAGATGCTTGAAGAGCATGTTCAGGAACAGGAACATAATGTTAGGGACCATGCTGACGACCTCAAAGTAGTTTTCAAAGTCCGCCTTGTGCTCGCCTGCCGCGCCATGGTCTGTACCAAACTTGTACTGGAAGTACTGGGGACAGCAGCAGCAGCAGCAGCAAGCAGAAGAGAAAAGGACAGTGCAGGCAGGCAGCACCGTGACACAGTACGCGTGCAAACAATCACACACACACGCACACACACACACACACACACACACACACACACACACATACACACACACACACATGAGCGCACACGTACGCAGGCACGCAAGCACGCACACATGCATGCATGCGCGCGTGCACATATACACACAGTTTGGTAAGTCGGAGATGAATTTATCCTGTATTGCATTGCAGTTTGCGATGCAAAATCGATCTACTGCTACTCAAAAGTCACCGTGACTCGCAGAAAATTGCGATGCATACAGGCTACCCATACCTAGCCTGCGCTGTCAAGTAACATGCATACAGTGCAGTGTATGTGGGGCAGGCACCCTCAATCTGCGTGCACATGTATCATTTAGTCGGGTTTTTTTGCAAATGGGCTTTCAGGCATCACTCTCAAGAAGGACAATGTGGTAAACACCCAACCTTCAAAGAAAAATGCTAATCAAAATCAAAGACTGTTACACAATTGTGATTTCGTATAACAGAAACTGCTATGCAAACATATGACAGTAAATTCATCCCTGTAAGTAGATGGGTGGTTGACTCAAAACTATGCCTTCTTGCTCTGTGAAAACCACAGGTGAGTACTGTCGGTGCGGGGATAATCATGGGTGGCTTACAGTGACGGCTGTGATGAACATGTTCCATGGTAGCAGAGTGCCCACACCTTGCAGATACAGCAGCCAGTAAGTCATGTGATACCTGCACACAGTACACCGGTATGGCAACACAGTACAGGACTGGTCTAGGATCACTTTCTACACAAATCTAGTCACATGACGATGATCATCTAGTAGTGTGAAACCGCTCTATCTAGTCACATGACAAGGATGTGAAACCACTCTATTGTCACTGTTTCTGATGGTCTGAAGCACTTTGCATTTTCGTTTGCGGATTCCTGGAACGTGCTCCCACCCTCTGCTCCTTACAAACAACCGAACAATTGTGACAACTGTGACACAGAGGACCGTGTAACCTGTCTATGGCGACCCCTCAAGGGATGAGAAAAAGTGGTCGCCGTGGCCAGGTGGCCTTCTTATCCAGGTTCAGTGGGTCACATTGACCATATCCGCATGTGATACTACTATTACATCATTTTTGATCAGTGCATCACAGTGCACACACCTATGCTACTCTAGCACGGCTCATGTGCCTGGGCCTGGGGTCCGCAGACCTGTCAAATGTCGTGCATGCACCATGTACATCTACACTTCCTGCATGCACTGATGTGTAGATCTACCACGCCTGGTGCACCGTGCAATGCGTACTAGTACATAATCACTCATTTACATGACTAGCACTGTGCAACGCGGTCGCGGGTGGGAGGTCGTCGGTCGCGTTGAGCGAGTGGTCGCCTTATCCGAGCTGTTTTTGAATGTAAATGCGTCCATGACAAGGAAAAGTGGTCGCCATGGTCGAGTGGTGGCCATTACAGGTTTTAATGTAGCATAGGCAGTGGCTGGAAATAATGGCTACACAAGCGCGTAGGACTGCCGTTGGAGGTGGTCCGCCTTGAGGGGGTGCGGGGGTCTGCCCGGGAAATTTTTGAAATTAGGGTGAAAAAACGTGGTTGGGCGAAAAAGTGGTCCTGCCAAAGCTGGACGGGCTGGACCGGCGGGTACGCCCCTGCTACATGGAAACAAGAGTACATGAAAACCAGAGTGTGCAGCTCGGATGGGTTGCTGTCACGGCGGAATTCCGTGATTACATCATTTTAGTGATGTAGTGCGTACAAACAGGATTCAAGCAGGTCTCTTTCTGCACAACTGCAGCTCAGTTGTACGCACTACGCCATTTCCCGCCTCAGATCTGCGCCAAGTATGATGTAATGATGGAATTCCGCCGTGACAGACACCCATAGCAGAAAAGGCTCCAAGCTGCACACTCTGGTTTTCATGTACTCTTGATGGAACGTACTTCTACCCTCTGCTCGTTACTCGTCGGAAGTTGTCGCTTTACTTTACTTGGCCCGCAACCGGTGTATTTATCTAATTTTATCCTAAGATGCTGAGTCCACCTACACCATCGTACACATGTTGATCTCATGCATGATGGATGCTTTGTAAGGTCACACGTGTCCAAATACACACGCACGTGCGCGCGCACACACACACACACACCACAACCACCACCACCCACACACACACACGCACACACGCACACCTTTGGACCTTTGGAAAGCCCATCGTCGAAGGCAATGATAGCTATAAGGAGAGGCAGTAGTTCTTACACACACGCACACACACACACACACCATGTACCATGTACACGCCCGTCGCAAGAGAAGCACGCAAATCTGCAAATGCACTGGATGTGCATCCAAAGATTTTCTCTTATAGCAACGATAGCGAACAGGATCTGAATGAGACAGATCAAGACTTGCGCCAGATAACTGTCTAATCCACACAACTGGCGAAGCCATGTGAATCGACCACCAATGCACACCTGGTCTACACCACACGGAGTACATCGGCATAAAACGGCCAAGACAGTTACCTATGCACACCCTACACTTGCTGGGGTAACCACACACACACACACGCACACCCCCCCACACACACCACCACCCACACACACACACACACATGCGCGCGCGCACACACACACACACCACAACCACCACCACCCACCCACCCACACACACACACACACACATGCGCGCGCACGCACACACACACCTATGGTACAAATTACATCATTGCGCAATGGGTCTACTTCTTTATTCCAACTTTCATGTTATGTCCACTGTATCATTAAATTCTATGGAAGCACTATCTAGCTATCCTCAGGCGCTAGAGCATCTAACCTCCAAAACTGTTCTCTTTTATAGTGAGGACTTCTGTGCTAGCTGTATATCTGTTTCAAGAGGAAAATGTAGCTAAAACAACCCCAGATTAGATGTGATGCACAAAGCTAGACGGACGCACCTAGCACCTTCCCATGGCACTAAAATTAGGCATTGGGTATATGGCCGGCCCTGTCACCGATCTGGGGCCGTAGATCTACCAGTACCACCTCTGATGGGCTGGCTCCGGCCTCCGGGCCTGCATGACAGACTGTAGGTCTACAGTATACACACACACACACACACACACACACACACACACACACACACACACACACACACACACACACACACAGATCTCTCACCTATCGTCCGGTCCTGATGGTCCCGCCATCTCTCGAGCGTTCTAATCTCGAGCTAGCGGCCTAGCAAAACTCCTAGCGGCCGGGTGCACCGGTGGAAATTGAGAATAGTCAAATGCTCTCAACGCTCCCTAACTGGACACGTAGTCTCACTCCACTGATGAAAGCCTAAATAACCTAAGAAAACAAAACAATACTGGCTGTCTATTTTGTCCACATGATTGTCCTGCTCGGATCATGAGACATAATGCGATGGATTGGATATGCCACGTGAAAATGTACAAAAATCGATTGTTCTTCGCGATTCGCGCGTTTTTTCACACGTAGATCTACGTGGCATTACATGATGTACGTACAAGCGCACAGGCTCTCAACCAGGGAGTCGTAACCACGACTCCCTGCTCTCAACACAAAAAGGCGCTTGAAAGTGATGACGTCAAAAACGGCCAGGGAGTAGTAAGTTGACATCAGATTTCTATTTTGGATCCACCCAAGGGAAACAGCTGAACGCCAAAAATAAGTATGGCTTATCCGAAGGGGAATTGGGCACTGATTCCGATGAGCTAGCTATAATAATAGTATGTCTCGAGCCGATCAGAGAAGAAGAGGATCCGTGTCAAATTTCATAAATAACACCTTCCATATTTGGAAATTGGGCTTGATGACGTGCGTACTGCTTAGCTGTCACCATGCTGAGCTGTGCATGCTCAGCAGTGTAATTGAATGGAAGAAAACAATTACTTTGGTGTTTTGCAGCTCTATTTCGTTCCCTAACGGTAACCAAATCTAGATGTAGGTATCTGTTGAGCAGGAGAGTGACACATGTCTTCCCGAAGGCTGTCCAGGCTGCAGTGGTGATGAAGAAGACACGATCATCACCCCGAGATCGATTGTAGCGAATTGGAAAACCCATGGTGAATTTGCTTCCACTCCAAGGCAATGTCGAGGTATGAAGGGTGCTTGTACTGCCTTCCAAAGTGAAGAGGAGATGAACATGGCTGTGCATAGCTGTTGTTCTACGCCAACTAATTACCTACTCTTGCTGATACCGTAGTGGCATATTGCAAATTTCGTGGACGAACAACTCTCTAGTCACTAGTGGCTAATGAGCAACACTAACAGGTGAGATTTTTCAATTTGACAAAAATTGTTTTTGTTTGAGAACTGACAGTGGCAGTCATTTGACTCAGTAGGTGTCTTTGCTGCTTCTTTCCCTTCATTCGTAGGGTTGTGCTTGAATAGTACAAGTGCTTGAAGTAAAATAAAATAAATAGAACATGTGGAACATAAAATCTAATCAAGCATCAGTACATGTATTGCGAATTTCAACTTCAAAGCACATGAAATCACAATGATCACAAAGTTTATGGAATCAGGAGGACACCATGTGTTCAACGAACACATACACATATGCTGTATCAGTGCGCGCACATGTACACATGTGCGTGCACCCCCACCCCATCCCACAGACACGCGCGTGCAGCGCGCACATCCATACACATGTGCATGTACCCCCCCCCCCCCTCCCCCGACACACACACACTCCTACCCATACACATGTGCGTAGGACCCACGCACACACACACACACACACACGTGTGCACAGACGAATACACAAACACACACGCCCGAACACACACAAGATACGTGTAAGTGTACATGGTCTTCCTGGTGCAGATGCGGGGCCAGCACAATGGAAAACACCTCCATCAAGATGCTTGATCAAGTGTTGTGATAATGGCACTGTTTGTTTGTTTTTACAAAGAAGTGTGGGAAGGATAACTACGCGTTATAATTCATAATAATTTATTTATTGTTCTTTGCCTTGTACTGTGCAGACCAGAATGCTTCGCTATCAACTCCTGGCTTTCCATCGGCATGGTGTTCAGCTGCAGCGGCATCTGGTCCGGGGAGTTGAAGTTGCTGGATGGCTGCACTGACACAGGATGGGTTTGCGTTGGCAATGCAATACGGCAGTCATTCCACATCATGAGCTACATGTTTATGTAATTTATATTGTCGCTCGTCCAGCAACGTCAAGGCTCTGCATGTAAACACAGGAGAACACCATAATAAAAAATACTACTCATACTCAGGGGATAATATATTTGGATTAGTAATTTCGTGCCATTTATGGGTTCCTGTCTAAACCATGCTGTGATATTGATTTCTACCTGCTCACAAAGTACCTTGTATTGTAACAATGCTCTGCCTAATCACTACCCTCCGCCAATTATTAGATTCACACAATATTCACAACGTATGCAACACAATCCTGTCTATTTACACTACTTCGAACTGAAATGCTCACTCACTCTTCTCCCGTTTTCAGCTCCCTCTACCTTATGAATACTCTACATTACTGGTTTCGTTTCTACCCTTTCCATTGCTGCCAGCTCCCAGTCTTTTTCAATGCACAGCACCACCTTGAAATTTTTGTGATTTGATGTACACATACTTTGAAGTTGAAATTCGAACTACATGATCAGATTTTTGTTCCACATTTTCTATTTATTTTTACTTCAAGCACAACCCTACCGATGAAGGGAAAGAAGCAGCAGAGAGACACCTACTGAGTCTAATGACTACCACTGTCAGTTCTCAAACAAAAACAATTTTTGTCAAATTGAAAAATCTCACCTGTTAGTGTTGCTCACTAGCGCTAGCCACTAGTGACTAGAGTTGTTCGTCCACGAAATCAGCAATATAGCAATACGTCTACGGTACCAGCAAGAGTAGGTAAGTAAGTTGGCATAGAACAACAGCTATGCACAGCCATGTTCATCTCCTCTTCACTTTGGAAGGCAGTACAAGCACCCTTCATACCTCGACATTGCCTTGGAGTGGAAGCAAATTCACCATGAGTTTTCCAATTCGCTACAATCGATCTCGGGGTGATGATCGTGTCTTCTTCATCACCACTGCAGCCTGGACAGCCTTCGGGAAGACATGACTGTGTCACTCTCCTGCTCAACAGATTCCTACATCTAGATTTGGTTACCGTCAGGGAACGAAATAGAGCTGCAAAACACCAAAGTAATAATTATTGTTTTCTTCCATTCAATGGACCGTATGCGTGTTAAAACAAAATGGCGTCACGATTTATTGAAAGTGGTATAGTTGGTGGAACGAGTGTTCAAACCCATTTGAACTTCATACTGTTCGTCTTCTTTTTGACATGCTCTCTTTCCATCGTCCTTAGCTTTTGTTTGTTGAGAGCTGTTTTGGCTTTCTCCTATACCTCTGGGGGATGCCAAGTGATGGTTTTGAGAGGCTGGTGATGGCTGTGAGCGAGAGTTTGCCGATCGGCGTCGTCCTCGCTATAGCGATGAAAATACTAGTTACTGCGCACCTGGCAGATATCACAACACGTCGGAGCGTCCAGGAGCAAAGGAATCTTGGGTTTTCACTGGAATCTAGTTCCACCAGCATCGTGTAGCCCACCGTCGGTGAATGGCGGTCCAGAAAGGTCGAAACTGGTCTTCTGCAGCATCTCGCAGTCCTGCGAGGCACACTGAATACGCCTGTCATGTATTCTACAAATATAAATCACGAAGTAGTGGACTTTATAGTGATGAGTCTATCCTGTATGCTGCAAAAGACGCAGGAAATGTGACTGGTGTCCGTACACTGGACGCCAATATCATCCCAGTCTTCTCCTGCAGGATCTGTTTGACATTGACATACTGGTATGCAGTGGGTCGACATTGGCCTGGTTTGGCAGCTATCTGCCTGGGTGGATGTAGCAGGTTTGCATTGGCGCGTCGTCCAGTCCGACATTTTCTTGTAACTGTGGAGTACCGGCAGGGTCTGAGAGGTTGCTCGTGCTGTGAACACATCTCTACTGCCTGTCTCGTCCTGGAAGTGCCGTCTCGCCGCTTCCTTGCTCTACAGTCACGCCGTTATTTCGCTTTGTTTCGTGGTGCAGCTCAAAACCTGCCCAAACAACTGTGAGCTCGCAACATGGTATGGACAAATTGCACCACTCATGCTGGTTAACTAAAACCGGGATAGTCGGATAAGCGAGTTCACTCCCTGGGCCATGGCAAGATCTGTTCAGCGCGGGCTATTCCAACCTCCAAGTGCATAGTCACCGATCGATCCATGCGATGGTGGTTGACCTACAAAGAGCCAAGGTCTACGAGTACTACTATTGGATGCTGTCTACATGCAGTCAACAAAATCAAAGTACCTCAGTATGCCCCAGAACAGGGCATGTGCATCTATAGCATGACACAACAGGGGTTCTGGCGGCACCTGTCAAACAAGCAGTAGCGACTAGTGCCAGCTACCTATTGGAGGCTAGCCGCTACAGTCTGTCACTGGAGATAATTATTATGTTCACTGTTTAGACTGAGCACAATCAATGATGCCCAATCAATCTGCCCAATGTGTGTTCTGTTCCACCTAATTATAACGTCCCATCGCATCAACCCTACTACACGCACATGTCGTCACTCTAGCACGACTTGTGTTATTATTGTTTATTTTGATTCGCACGATAAATAGAGCACAATAAACGTTAACTTGACCGAAGGTTAAAGGCGACTGCAGATAGAGGAACACATCGAGGTACAGGTGCCGGCATCAATACAGTATCAGAGAGGTACGCAGAAAAAACTCTCGTAAGCCCAAGGGGAAGTGGTTGATGAGGGATGAATGTACTCTCCACGCTCGTCTACACTGTTCGTGGAAATGCACACATACATACAATAATATACAACATAGCAATAGCATGCACAGAACCGAACAATTTCATGTTCACACATGCAAGCACAGACCTGAACATTAGTACCAAAAGCCGATACAGACAATATCCCCATACACACAGACGCACACACACACACAATGTCCCATGTATGCGCCCGTGGCGAGAAAAGCACGCAGATCTAAAAATGCACTGGATGTGAACCCACAGATTTTCTCTAATAGCAATGATAGCGGATCTGATTCTGAATGAAACACACACACAATACAATTATTGAATGCCCATCCGCAGATGATGGCAGGTCCTGAAAGAACAGGCAGTGTTCCAGTGATGGGGAACAGAACTTCGAGTGGCGAGTGAGGTATACACACACACGTGCGTGCGCGGGCACACACCAAAGTATGAAGAAATAGAATCGACATCGTAGTATTCATTGGTTGGGGAATGGAAAGGAAAATAAAACATTGCTATAGGTTATTGTTGTAAGGACACTGGGAGCACAACAGAAAGGTAAGCAACTTGCTTTGAAGCAAAGAAAGTTATTATTCCACGGATCTCAGAAGGAAGGAACGTTCCAGAATGCTGCACTGGCAACAGGCGGCCTGCATGTGCGCGGCCCCTGCAGTCGGTCCAGCTGCCGGCCTTGCAGTGCTGAACAGAATGTGCAGTACAGCATGTCACATAGTATCGCAGCCTGGACAAATAGACGCTGGGAAGTCCTAGTTATGTGCTCACCTACACCACGATGCACCAATCTTCTGAGCTACTTTGGCAACAATTTTGTCCACTTGAGACTCCCATGGGCTGAGCCAGTTGTTGAGGGCTGCATCAAGGTGGACGGCAATGACCGCTGATGGCAAGGCAATCCATGACACACAGTCACTAGGGCATCGTCAACATGGCGCTAAGGCTGGATGAATAAAATCAACCTTTAGGCTGCCGCGGGATTGACAACGAGGCCGCTGTCTCGAAGCTAGTCAGTCAGCCTGGTCACCGCCATTGACGAACCAGTCGCCACCGCCAGCAGTGGCGGTAGGTTGTGACAAGTATGGTGCAATATTGTCAGCAAATTCAGTACTCAGCATAAGATGAGTGACAAAGGGAACGTTGTGTTTGATAATATTGAAGTGAACAGGGATGATCACAAACCCTGCGCGTACTCCACCGTGAGTTACAAGAAAATTCCGGACTGGACGACGAGCAAACACCAACCTGCTACATCCAACCAGGCAGATACTATAACGATAGCTGCCAAACCAGGTCAATGCCGACCTACTGCATAATGTCAATGTCAAACAGATCCTGCAGGAGAAGACTGGGGTGTTGGCGTCCAGTCACTGAGTGTACAGACACCAGTCACATTTCCTGCGTCTTTTGCAGCATACAGGATAGACTCATCACTGTAAAGTCCACAACTTCGTGATTTTTATTTGTAGAATACATGACAGGCGTATTCAGTGTGCCTCGCAGGACTGCGAGATGCTGCAGAAGACCAGGTTCGACCTTTCTGGACCGCCATTCACCGACGGTGGGCTACACGATGCTGGAGGAACTAGATTCCAGTGAAAACCCAAGATTCCTTTGCTCCTGGACGCTCCGACGTGTTGTGATATCTGCCAGGTGCGCAGTAACTAGTATTTTCATCGCTATAGCGAGGACGACGCCGATCGGCAAACTCTCGCTCACAGCCATCACCAGCCTCTCAAAACCATCACTTGGCATCCCCCAGAGGTATAGGAGAAAGCCAAAACAGCTCTCAACAAATAAAAGCTAAGGACGATGGAAAGGGAGCATGTCAAAAAGAAGACGAACAGTATGAAGTTCAAATGGGTTTGAACACTCGTTCCACCAACTATACCACTTGCACTTTCAATAAATCGTGACGCCATTTTGTTTTAACATGAATATCGCGGATTACACTGCTGAGCATGCACAGCATGGTGACAGCTAAGCAGTACGCACGTCATCAAGCCCAATTTCCAAATATGGAAGGTGTTATTTATGAAATTTGACACGGTTCCTCTTCTCTGATCGGCTCGAGATATAGCTCATCGGAATCGGTGCCCCTTCGGATAAGCCATACTTATTTTTGGCGTTCAGTTTCCCTTTAATAATAATACATGTATCTTTATTAGGATGACCCAGGCTTAGGCTAAGGTACTATAGTACATGTACATAATTATTATACCTAACACTGGTTAAAAAACCAGTATTAGGCCACCTAGAATTAATTCGTTGTTTCGGGTCACTTCACTCATCCTTACCAGGGTCGGTCGGTCGGGTTTTATTTTTTATTTTATTTTATTTTATATTTTGGTTTAAGTCCATGTGCATACATGTATGGTACATCGAATAGCTTTTGAAGTTTTGTCCACCTAGCCAGTCGATCAAATCTGACTGTAGAGTGTAGTGTAGATAATCCAGCGCAGTCATTGTCCCATCAGATCCAGGTAGGTCCCCTCCAGGACCAGATCTTGGCCTCGCTGGCAAACGAGTCTGACGAGCAGCTCTCATCTTGAAAACTTCTGTAAATAGCGACAAGGTGGCGGAGCTGATGCTGTTTCAGGACCGATTGCGGATCGGAGATAGAAGACAACGACGTTACGTCGTCACCAAGCGCTGCATCCTGTCATTTGGCTAGCCATGGCTGCTTCTGAGGTGGATATCTGGACTGCTATTATTAGGGTCGCGCCTGTACATAGTGTAGTCTGTACATTTGCATGCACTATAAAAAAAAAAAACATTTTGCGGTCGGGTGAAAAAAGACGGTCGGTCGGGTGACCCGAAACAACGAATTAATTCTGGATGGCCTTAGATAAACCTAGCTTGTTATGGTTCACGCAAATTGTTAGATTGACAGCATGAATGTTTATAGTAAGGTCACCATGGTCACTGTTTCCGAACACAGTGTCCTCCACCTTGTTTCATGCTGTCAGCCTAACAATACAATGTACTATCTGATGTCTCCCTTGTTCTTTCCCGCTACCATTAATGCATTATCATTCCCTTGTCTGTCAGGTACCAAGCTGTACGTTCTAACGTACCGTGCGCTTCATGATCTGGCTAGTGTCTTTGTTGCTAACTGTTTCTGTCTCCGCTCTAATTCTACCTGCACTAGTTCTCGCACCCGCTCTCAAGTGTCCTCTTCCCTTGCTCTTCCGACAGCCAAACGTCGCTATGGTTTATTTTCTGTCACTTTCCTTGGCTCTGACCGCTGGAATGCCCTCCCAGCGGAGGTCCGCTCTAGTTCTTCCTTGCATACCTTCCGTATTTCTGTTCTTCATTTTTTAGGGTACCCTGTCAAAAGGCCTTAGGCCTGTGGGGATTGCCCTATCAAAAATTTAATAGATTAGAAGCGGTGAGGCCTCCTGCAGTTTCATACAGAATTACAGATGGAGCGGACTCGCTCCCTTCTATTTACACTGCAACGTTCGAACACATTTTCGTAGTTAAAACAACGTTTCGGCATATAGCCCTCATCAGGTTTGCAATGATGTGCACTCTACAAAGGAGCAGCAAATATACTGTGCCGTGCTGTAAAAATTTAATAATAATAATAATAATAACAATCATAAGCACCTGAGCACCTAAATTTCAGAAATTTTAGGTGCTCAATATTTTCGGTATGAGGGCAAAAGGCCAGGTAATAAACAGGTCGCGTAATGAATAAGCAGCATAACGATAGATGTGCAAAGTCATGATGCCTGGTCCGCTTCTGTCCTGGGTTCACCACCCCGTGAACCCAGGACAGAAGCGGACCAAAAAAAAGACAAAAAAAGGCCAGGTTAGGTGAACAGAAAAGTTAGGGTCAGAGAAGCAGTTCCCGGATTATGCTTGTTAGTGTTTGTTCGGTGTATTGAAATTTCCTGTATGAAACAGACGCACCTCGTCTCCTTGTGAGAAGGCACCATTGCCTGTTTGGTTGAACGACTATAAAATAAAAGCACGACAACAAACCGAAAGTACCGAACATAAAGCACACCGAAAAATAATAATTCATGAAATTACAGTCGTCGTAACTCATGTTGACGCACAATTTCACGTATAAAACTATGCCAAAATAACACTGTACGAAACCCCTGTTCTCAGTGTGATACCAAGACTGGGAAAGAGTCCATAAAAGTTTATGGACTCTTCATGTCACGCACACACACACAACCACACACGCACACACACACAGACATGCACAGACACACACCAACCGTGTTGTTTCTGAGCAGTAAAAATATCACTGCACCACATACGAATACAGACACCGTGCCTGCACAGAGAAAGAGAGAATAATGACGAGGAATGCGCAGCTGACAGAGTAGGTCAACCGCAGGTGTGTCCACAATACTACATTATAGTACTGTGCAGAGCACAGAGCAGCAGAAATTAGAACATCTACTGGCAACAGAGTAGAAAGAGACAGTACCATTATAGTATTGTGCAGAGCACAGAGCAGCAGAAATTAGAACATCTACTGGTAACAGAGTAGAAAGAGATAGTATTATAGTATTGTGCAGAGCAAAAGGGCACAGAGCAACAGAGAATGGAACATCTACTGCCAACAGAGAAGAAAGAAACTTAAAAGTCAGATGATGATAATTATACATGTATTTATGTACTTGTAGCAGTGCAGAGATAAGATCGATAAAGCGATTCGAGTTTTATAGCACCACCATGCTGCCAATACATACGTGAACTGTGGAGGAATATGAAAAGTCAGAAAGAGACAGAGGAAGCTCAAAGAGAGGAGAAAACAGCCTGGGTGTGCAGTCGACATCTGTAAAATGACGCCGCTGCACGTTGGTAATCAGCAAAACTAGAAGAAATCAGGCCCACGGGCCCAGTTGACTGATAAGTGCTAACAATGTGTTTATGCAATCGTTGAGGAAAGGAATAAAAGATCTCACACCACGGCCAATAGAGCCACCATTGCTGAATCAGAGAAAAACAAACAGGACATCAACTTCAAGAAAGGAGGAAGAAAGAGGAGAGATAGATAGAGGCTGATACTTAATCTGCGGACGATAGAGATAGATAGATAGATAGAGAGACCGGCCGAAAGCAAAGCGGAACAAGTGCGTCCGCCGGTAGCGGGCCACCTGGCTAATCGTGCTCCTCACGCTCACCCGCTTTCCCGGCTGGGAATGGGCGTGGAGAGGTTGTATATGGCGGCACCCTGGCTATAGTCTACACCGGGGACTTTATCAGCATCCGGCGGGAACTGCAGGCGCTTGTCGGTGTAGTATCCGTCACGGCGATCGCCGTCACGAAGAGGATTAAACGTCAGGTAGTAGATGCTTCGACTGCGCTCCGCTGAGCGATTGTCCTGACTGCGGTGCGGTACCAGAGAGCTGAAGAAGAACACGTCGCCGGCTTCGCAGGTCAGCTGCACCCAGGTGTTGTTGCGATTCCACTCGGACACGCGGTCCGCCGGTAGTGAGCCCTCTGTGGACAGAGTGAGAGAAAGAAAGTGAGTGAGAGAGAGAAAGACAGTGAGAGAGAGAGAGAGAGAGAGAGAGAGAGAGAGAGAGAGAGAGAGAGAGAGAGAGAGTGAGAGTGAGTGAGAGGGTGAGAGAGTGATCGCTGGCAAGGCTCTTCAGAATCTTGTTTTTGATTGAAGACTGCACAACACATGTCACTAGTGGAAAAAAGTACCACAGGAAAACCTGGTGTAAGCGACCTCTGTGTTTAGCGACCACCCGCTCTTAACGACCGTTTTCCATGCACCGACACATCTACACAGACAATAGACACCCTTAGCAAACAACGGTAACGCTATTGTTTACGGTACTTGTACCTTGATCACCCAAATAGCGTTGAAGCTGCAGCGTATAAACGTTATGGGGGCTGATTTATCGTTGTGACCAACGGTACGTGTTTTGGCCAAATATTGCATAGTCCGTACGCATTTCACCTTGTATCGCGTATATGGTGACAAAAATGGTTGTACCGCGCGAAATCAAAGCTACTCTCGTGGCAACAGCGTACTAAAAATAGCGTGTATCTTGCTAAAGGTCGAACCCAAATCACGGTATTTTCCCCCTTACGATAATACCGTTACAACATAACGTTTTTTGCTAAGGGTGTCTATTGTGGGACCTGGTTCTAAGACCACCTGGCTTTAACGACCGCTTTTGCTCGCACCGTGGGGTGGTCGCACCGTGGGGTGGTCGCTTAAACCAGGTCTTACTGTAGTGGATCTTTCGAAATCGTGAAAGATTGACTACCTTGAATAGATTCTCGGTTGGAGGGAAACAAATCAGCACACGAAGCACAGAAGCCATGTAGTTTCGACTAGGCCTTTCGTACCATTACTTTTCAAGTCGAACACGGTGGTGATAAGGGTTGGTTCACATATCGCCGGTACGCGCCCGGGAGTCAACGGGAGTGGGCCTCTTGCAACCTCTCCCGGCGCATTACGATTATGTGACCCAGTGCAGTCGTAACAAAATCATACGGTAAAATATCGCAAGGGACCGCCGGCAAAGCTGGACAGTGCCCAACTCTTGCGATCTGCCCCGGCACCGATCCCGTACGATTTTGACCAAAAGTGGTTTGTGAACCGTTTGCGCCGGTGATCGCCGGCTGCCGGAAGCCAGACTTTGTCAAAATTTCAAACCAAGGCTCGTCCTAAATTTTCCAAAATTGAAGCTAGAGACGAGGTTCGTTCGCCATTTTTGTGATCGCTTCAAGGTGGCAAATAAGTCAGCATACCAACCCGTCCTTTTCGGATGATCTGCTTGACTGGTGTGCAACTTATGAGACAAATATAATTGAAACAAATAAACAATATGATGGATACATTGGCAAGTTTTTGTGACTTCATCAACGTTTGCATGCATAATTTCGACATCATTGCTTACTAGACTGCAATAAAATGTGTAGAAGTAGTTTCCGGATCTCCAGTAAAAGGTAGCAACCAGTGGCCATCACCGAAAGACCTTGAACTACTGAAGAAACAAAGAATTCAAGCTTCAATTGGCAAACCTGTCGTAGCATTTGGACACATTCTGTACTACTTTGTAGTAGATTTGGTACTCGAACTGTATGTCCAACGGATCGGGAGCTGGCTCATCGCCGATGTCTTGCTGCGCCGATTTTGCTTTTATGTGAACCAACCCTTTTAAAACACTGCAACAAGTACGTCCCAATAACCGGCACTTCGTCCCAATAACCGGCACTTCGTCCCAATAACCGGCACTTCGTTCTTGATAACCGGCACTTCGTCCCAATAACCGGCACTTCGTTCTTGATAACCGGCACTTCGTTCTTGATAACCGAACGAGCAATGGAGGTGGCACCTTTCGGTTGTACTTGTAAGCAAGTAAAGACTTACTTGCTGCCGTGTTCATCACCATTGTACATGTATCCGAATTGAAAAGTAATGGTACGAAAGGCCTAGTCGAAACTACATGGCTTCGGAACTACATGGCTTCTTTGATTCGTGTGCTGACTGACTACTTTCTGCATACAGTAAAAACTGTCCAGGCAACCACTCTGATAAGGTGACGACCCATCCCAAACTACCGGTAAACCCAGGACCAATGGATGTTGTCTTCAGTCGAATGACCCAGGATAAGGAACCGACGTGTACACAGAGACCACAACCACAGGGTCGATTGAGATGTCCGCTTTGACATGTTTCACTGTGAATAACAAGTACCAAGAGTACACGAAAACCAGCGTGTGCAGCTTGGATGGGTTGCTGTCACTACGGAATTCCGTGATTACATCATTTTAGCGACGTAGTGCGTACAAGCAGGATTCTTTCTGCACAACTGCAGCTCAGTTGTACGCACTACGCCATTTCCCGCCTCAGATCTGCGCCAAACATGATGTAATTATGGAATTCCGCCGCGACAGACACCCACAGTAGAAAAAGCCCCAAGCGACACACTCTGGCTTGAATGTACTCTTGCTAGTACAGTAGGTATCGGTTATAGTGTGGGTGTTTGAAAAACGACTTTCTATTCTTATTTCCGATATTTCTTAAACACGATACATAAGTATGACATATCTTATGCATGTGCGCAGAGGCAGGAAGATCATTGTACGTGCAACGTAGTGCTACTGTGCATGCGACTTGTCATAGTCCCATAGGTTTACCATGTGGCTATGCAACATGAGTTACCAGGGGTTACATGACCACAACAGTTGAACCTGCAGCACTACAACGCAACGCGAGTCAGATCAGAACTGCATTGGGCAGATGTTATTACTACAGGCGATACACGTTGTACTAATCTGGCATGTTTCGCTACACAAAGTCCATTCTTAGGACCGATATATTCTACTATGCGAAAAAATTGCTTGTAAGAATAAAAGTGCACTTGAAACCCATGTTATGATTATGAAAACATGAGAGGTCAATCTTGTAGGCGGTATATTCTTTTACACGACCACGCTATAACCCATACGCACCGCACAGTCAAACCTCGCTTATCCGGTTCTCGTTTATCCGGATCCCACGCCATACGGAAGAAAATAGCTGGTTACAGATTTTCAGCATACGTGATGTATCCAATGCAACCGGTGTTGGGTTATCCAGCTCCATCGCCTATTCGGATATTTCCGTGGAAAACGTATGTGTGCGGTTAAAGGGGAAGTATACCCTAAAATCAAATTTTCACCAGTTGTAGTCTTCAGGGTGCTGAGTCGAATGGTCTTGGTCCGAGGACGCTGAGACGCTCCCTTCCTCCTTTATTCCCAATCGAACTCGCGCACTTCCACCGAAACTGGGTGACTGCGCCCTACTAGATAGGGATTTGTATGGAAAAAGTCACTAAAAACGCCGTTTCGTTCTTATAAAAGCTCGGATGACCGCGATTGGTCCATATGTTGTAGTCTTTTGGCCGCTGAGTCGACCGGTTTTGGTCCGAAAAGGCTGCGATGCAGTGTTCGGCCCTTATTCCCAGTCGAACACGGTTGAGTAAGCGGTCACGTACTCATGCGTACACCAGTCGCCTGGTCACCGTGTACGCGTGCCTGCAGACTACAATTTTCATATCCAAGGTTCAACTCAATGGTTCAAAGCAGGGAGCCGTAAGAGGCTTTTACGACTCCCTGGTTCAAAGGTTCAACTCGAGTGACATAAACGGGCCCAAACAGTCTGTAAATGAGCACGTGACCGCTTACTCAACCGTGTTCGATTGGGAATAAGGGCCGAACGCTGCATCGCAGCCTTTTCGGACCAAAACCAGTCGACTCAGCGGCCAAAAGACTACAACATATGGACCAATCGCGGTCATCCGCGCTTTTATAAGAACGAAACGGCGTTTTTTGTGACTTTTTCCATACAAATCCCTATCTAGTAGGGCGCAGTCACCCAGTTTCGGTGGAAGTGCGCGAGTTCGATTGGGAATAAAGGAGGAAGGGAGCGCCTCAGCTTCCTCGGACCAAGACCATTCGACTCAGCACCCCGAAGACTACAACTGGTGAAAATTTGCGAGATCTGACTGTACCTGGGTGCGGTAGGACGCCCTGGTCACGTTTCCATGGCACCAGTTCTAAACAGCCATTCTCCAGGGTAGCAGGTTCGGCGGCGATCATGCAGGTCACGTGGTAGTCCATTCCGAATGTGATGTACGCCGGTGCATCCTGGTGTGGAGGGAATCCTGAACACGGGTGGATAAACAGGCACGTGCACACAGACACACGCAGACAGACGCACACGCAGACACACATACATGAACACACACACACACACAGAAACATGCATATTATTAATATACACATACATGCACACAGACAAACACGAACACAAACAGGCACACACACACAGAAGCATGTTGAAGAGAGATCATCGGGTGTGGGCATACACAAATACAATCGCCTGCCCACCCGCCCGCCCGCACAAACGAACCGCTAGGCCGGAGAGTGCTTGTTGTCACACACACACACACGCACGCACGCACGCACACACACATACACACAAGACAGTTCAGCTCACCCTTAGCTCCAGGCAGCTTGAAGTTGATCTTCTCTTTGTATAAGATAGCCTCCTCTCCCATCAGTTCACTGATAGCCTGCAAGAGGTAACAAGAAGAAATGCAGGTACAGTACCAGCAAGAGTCCATAAACAAGAGTATGCAACTGTGATCTCTTCTCTATGGGCCAGATGCACGGCATGCTGCCTTCATTACATCATTCAGCTGCAGTCGGCGCACTGCGGAAAATCAAACACCGCACTTTCCCTCTGGTTTGAAATGAACTCTAGTACGGAACTGGAGTTCGCCCGGAATTTTTTTAGAGATCGCGTAGGTACTGGAACGAATCGAGCAAAAACGGATGGGCTTGTACGAGAAATTGTGGATGTGAGTGCATGTTTTCAGAGCGTGATGAAGGCAAGTTATGTAATGAAGGCAGCGCACCAGACACTGACCCATAACCGCATACTCTTGTTTATGCACTCTTGGTACCAGGGATAACCATCAAAGGATTTTAAAAACAATAACAATAACAACAATGGCGACAACTGCGTCGGCGGCAGCAGCACCAACAACAACCCAAAGGTTAATGTTCCCACCATTCTACTAGCTTTTTATCAGCCTAAAGAGAGAGACACAAACTCAAAGAGAGAGAGAGAGAGAGATAGAAAGAGAGAGTGTGTGTGTGTGGGAGGACGAGGAGGAGGAAAGAACGCACGTACGCGTACACACACACACACACATTACATACCCGCGTAATCTTGCCACGGACGAGGTCGCGGGCCCCGTCGTGATACGGAAGGAAGTTCTCGACTCGGCATAACACACGCTCGTCCTGTGGACTCTTCTCAAAGTATTTCATCCATTTACCTGCCAAGCAGTGAACCAGGTCAAATAACAGGTTACATCATCAATTGAAACATCTTGTATGACAGGACATCACACACACAATAGTTGATGTTTGTAGTTTTCCATACGAAGCATACAGAAAGCTGGGGTGCAAAACCTGACAAGAGGGAAATTTGAGAAAATCAGATTTTCAGCTCAGTGTAATCAAAAGGTTTAGGGGTACCAGCAGGCAAACTTTCACATTCAAAATCTCTCTATTACTGTAGAACCATTTCAAACGTGGAACCCTAATAAGAATTTACATACAAACCACACAGCAAGACCTGTCAAGGCGACCACCTGCCTCAGAAGACCACTGTAACCAGGACCAAGGGATGCTATTTGCAGCCAAACGACCCTGAATAAGGAGACCACCTGGCAACAGAGACCGCATTTTGCAGGTCCCTCGAGCGGTCGTCTTAGACAGGTTTCACTGTAAAATTCCTTTTCAGCCATTATCCGAAAAGTGATGAAATGGATATAATTATGTACAAGTAGCGGGTTTCGCATTCCAGTTCTTCATTTCACCACATATCATACACACACACACACACACACAGTGACACACAGAGTGACACACACACACACACACACACACACACACACACACACACATAGTGACACACACACACACACACACACGGTAACACACAGTAACACACAGTAACACACACACACATGTGACACGATTTGTGATGGAGGCTTGCGATGCGAACTCGTGAAATATCATTCACAGAAGAAGTCAGCGATGCCACAACGCCTTGCGGATTTGGTGCAAAGTTCAATGCAGGTGGGTACGTCACCATGGTATTCGCCTGGCTTGGTACAACTTGTACAAATTTACAGGCAACTCTTCAACCTTTGTCCAACTTTGGTGTAGAAAAGGTCAACATTGTACACCAAATCGCTTGGCGCATCTCGAAAATTGAGCCAATCTGCAGTGACCCAGTTGTGGCAGTTGCCAGGGGTGCGAGATGGCTGCGATTAGGGGATTTCCCGGTTTCGCGGCCGTCGCATCGCGTGTTGCATCGCAAAAATGCTTCGGTGAATACCGCTTTATAGGAACATGGACCTGCCCCACCCTTGGTAGAATGGCTGCGGTCCTGCCCTGCCCTGGGTAGTAGGTTCATGGCCCTGCCCTGTAATACCCTAATAGGGACATAGACCTGCCCCACCCTAGGTAGAAGGGCTGCGGTCCTGCCCTGCCCTGGGTATGAGGGTCATTGCCCTGCCCTGAGTAGTAGGTTCATGGCCCTGCCCTGCAATACCCTAATAGGGACATAGACCTGCCTTGCCCCACCCTACGTAGACCGGTAGGACTCTGGCCTCGTCCTGCATGGATGCTGATCCACGCACAATACTAGTGCAAGCACCACTCACCAGGCCACAGATGACCCAAACAGCACAGGGTTCTAGCCTGGTCAAGAAAGCCGGGGGACGGGCAGGGGAAACAGTTACCCCGTGACTCATTTTTTCCATTTTCTAAAAATGGAACGTATGCATCCATTTCCCGCCGTTAGGTTTTGCGGTGCAAGTCCACTACCACCCGTACACACTGTGATACCAGCTCTGCATAAAAAGGTCATGAACTTTGTACGGTCATACTCATAAATGTACTAGGACGGGTTAAACCTGCCAAAAACAGGGCAACTTGCCCCGCAAAAGGTGACCCCCCCCCCCCCCCCCCACACACACACCCTCCCTTGGCTAGAACCCCGCACCATGATGATCACTGCGAACATTTGATAACGAATCGTCACGGGATCACGCGCGGCATGATGCGTGTACATGATCTGGTGACAGCTGCGACGCACCAGACTGCGCAAGTGCCAGATTGGTTTTATCCTATGTCAGTTTTTCTTACACTGTGCAGCTGTCAGTATGATTGTGTTCATATGCACCGGCACATACAGAAATCATCTGGACCTCTACAGCCGGCGGTAAAACCTCGTCAAGAGACCACTTGAATTTTAGCAACCACCTGGTGTGTACAATGCCACCATGTGTATGCAATGTGCCCGGGGTCGACCTGGTTTCAGAGACCACATACGTTCAAAGCCTGTAATGAGCTAGTTCCCTGGGTGGCCGGTGAAACTAGGATCCGTCTGTTGACGAATTCTCAGACTTCTGAAATTTTCGAGTACAGTACGTAAAATTCTGACATTTTTCTGGAAATTGAAAGTGCAAGCTGTACGGTTGTTTAGTTCATGGTCACACTCAGTTCCAAGATTTACCTTTTTGTTCTGGCCAATCCTTCATCTCCGCGGTCCATCGGATGACATTCTGTCGCTCGTCGGCGGTGAGGAAGTCTCCGCTGGCCTTGAGAAATCCATGACTATGGAAATGCTCCAGCTGAGGTTCGTTGAATAATGACAAAGCCTGGGTCGAAGCTCCGGTGCTGGCACATCGTACCGACAGCCCAGGCCTGGAAAAGCCGATGAGCCGTACAGCGTGCAGTAAACCACGGCCCTGGCCGGGTGCGGGACAAAGGAGTGCCATCCTCTTTGTCTTCAGTCAGAGTTGAGTTCAGAGCTCGTGGGTGACAGAAAATACACTACACTGAAAGACGTAGATCTGCTGACTGTACTGCACTGCCTCAACTCAACTCAAGTCAGCCAGTCGCGCGTGCACCACACGGCTGTCACGATGGTCATGTACTCGGCCAAAAAATATGGCGTCCAAAAATTTGAAAATTTGAAAATCTCATCATCGATCTGTCATTGATTTGCTTGAAAATACTCTTTTTCTCTTGAGGAAACCTCCACTTTCCCCTTCCCATCGACCGGGTTTCATAGTACAAACACGCTTCATGACTTCCTCTCGCGATCCTCTTTCATCTGATACCCGTCTTGGCCGTCTTCTTCCAGGAACGATTCCTTCGGAGGTGCGTTTCCTTTGCCTTGACGACTTGCCCTTCGTCACTTCTATCAGCCCTTTTCACAGCTACCTTCTTCTCTTGTAAAAGTTTTCTCGTCTTCTTTGGCAGTTTTCCTGGTGCCTGGGTGACTTCATTTACCGATTTTTTGAATTTGTTTGTCTTTCCGTGCTACTAGATCGATTTCCGTGGCCATCGATTCTACCGTATCGCGTGCTAGTAGTAGTGTGTAAAATGGATGAACACAGTGCATTGCTGTCTACCTGCTGCAGTATTGGTGGCAAAAAGTTTGCCAACATGGCTGTGTCCACGAAATACAACGTGAAGGACTATGCCAGATCATTCAAGATGTGTACGAGGTCGACATTTCTCAGGATGACCCTGCGATCCACCCTATACACATTTGTCATGTATGCAAACGTGTGCTGGATCGTTGTCTGAGAGAAGGTTGCCTTGACTCATTTGTAGGGGATGGATGTGGAGCGATCAAAGTGTGAACGCCACATCACCGCACATACTGCGACATATGCCACACTGCACCAAACAAGGGTGGACGTCCACCAAAAAAGCAGAAGCAACTTGCTTCAAAGCTTTCTGCTGTACAAAAAAAAGAAAAGAAATGGATCACACAACAGTCCCACAACATTCATCCACAACAGCAATACCCCTATCACACTCTCCTGGACCCCAGACTGCACACAGTACTAGTGAAATGGATGTAGATGAAGCAAATGTTTTCACGCACGCAACACCGACATACAGCGCACAGAAGAAACTGGACAAGACTAGGTTCGTTCATTGCGCAGCAGGTTCCACAATACACAGCAAGGGAAGTGCCAATGAATAAGAAAGACGGCAGCATAGTGATGGCATGCATGGCGTACATGCCAAATCTCATTGACATCGTGATGATCTGATGATCTGGACTTGTACGACACATATGGGTGGCTGACCTGGCACGGAAATGTCATTCCGGAGTCCGAGATTCGGCTAAAACTTGGCGGTGACCGCCTCTGGAGCAAATCTTTCGCAAGCCAAGCACCATAACAATGCCATCCGCCCAGTTATCTTGCCAGTTCCCGTCAGCAACGTTGTTATTCCGTCTTTTCATCTGGATCTCGGCATTTTCGCATGGCTGTATGACATCTACCTAGCTGAAGTCAAACAACTGGATGTGAAACTGGCAGCAGCAACTCTCTAGCCGTGTGCAGATGATCAGCTCCAGTTTCAAGAGCTAACAGTTCTCAGCGACAAAGTTCGGTCCGCCAGGCAAGCTATGGAAGATGCCCAGGCGAAGAGCGATGAACTACAGCAGCAGCTCCAATATGCAGTGCTCTTGCAGCAACACGCACCGACCAGCTTTCCCAACGTCAACATGGACACTGTAGCTGCAGCAATACAGCAACTGTGGAAAGACGCCAGCGACGCCTTCACTGCTGCAAGTGCTGAGCACAGCAAACTCGTACAAGACTTAGACGAGATGAGAAAGAACAAGAAAGTCACAGGACCATGCGCGTCAAGTCTCGAGTCTGTGCTCCAAACACACAATGTTGATCGGCAAGCCTTCCATGGCGGTGCCTCCGTGGGCAACCATGTACATCGCACACTGCAGCCTGCCGTACTAAGAGCACTGATGTCTGCTCCAGTTGAGATGGTTTCCACTCGTTGCCAGCAGCTCGTTGCTGATGCAGAAATCTTGCAGCAGCGGTACCATGGATTGTTTTCGGGATATGCCGACTGCAGCCACCGTTTCAGCCATTGCAACAGCATGTCAGAGGCCGACATCTCAAAGCTGGCTGACTGCATCCAGCTGTTTCTTCAGAAATGCAGAGAATCCATTATCACCCGGCAGCTCGGCAACATAACTCCGAAACTACATCTCTTGGAGGAGCGCACAGTCCCGTTCACCAGGAAATTTGGAGTCGGTCAGGGTCGACTCGCCGAGCAGGGCAGCGAGTCAATTCATGCCAGATTCAACAGGCTGAGCTTCGATTATAACGCTATTCCTGGGACTCTGCAGCGCCTCACAGCAATGTGCCAGCAACATCTCGTCGGGACATTGCCACAACATGACGCTGTTCGTCCCGCCACGGCATCAAGAAAACCCAAGGCGTCCGAGCTCGAGCAGTGATCCTCAGGCCCTGGACGCAGCAGCTTGGCCATTTCAGCCCTGATCCAGGTAAGAAAAATAACAACGGTACTGCTGACTCCTAGTTGAGCTCTGTAGTGACAACAGGAAGAGACGTCGTCCAGCAAAAAACTGCTGTCTACCTTCTCCTTCCTTTTCTTTCCTTGTTTGTTGTTGTCGAAGCTGAACAATTTTTGTTGTGCGACTTCGAAAGTTTGAATCCTTGTCCCGATCGCGGTGTTTGTTACCTTGACAAAGCACAGTTTTCGCGTGAATCCCACAGGATCTTGAAATCTTTTTCAGTTTTCAGAATATTTTTGAATTTCACCGTAAACCTGGGCGAAGGCCGCCATATTGTTAAGTGGTGGCCGCGAAACAGCCGTGACCAGGTCAGGGAATGCAGCAGGGATCACAATCGGTGCAGTGCACTGCATGCAGTCAGTAAAATGCACGTGAGGTCCAGTCCGTGATCAGCTGACGAACAAGCGTGAGGGAGAGCTAGCTGGGGAGTTGCAGGGTTCACTGCTGACTGGTCGGTTTGTTTCGCGTTTGGAGGAAACTACGAAACGTAGATAGTGGAAAGTTACTTTGTTTGTAGTTCAAACAAAAATCATCAGGCTGGGATGGGCTTCTTTATTCAATTATTGGCTCCCTACAAACAGACCAGACTCACTGTAAGCCCGACAAAGAAATCAGGCCTCTATCTCGCAGCTTGCTGAAGACCATCAATGAATGTGCTGCTACTGCCCAGGCTGGAATGCTGGATCATGAAGACAGAGTGACATGAGTCGGAGTCACAATGAATCATGGATGTCGGAGTAAAAGTGTACCAACGCATCGAATCTCTGCAACGTCCATTCATCGCAGACAAAGTGACAGTTGCATCGACAGCTTGAGGTGAGCGGAGCTTGGGTCTGTCTGTTCCCCAAAACAGTTTGAACATTGAACGATGAACGTAAGGTGTTACTTGAAGTAACTGAACGGGGCTCAGAGTCAGCTAGTATAGCCGCTGAATAAGAAGTGAAGGCACTGGAATAGGATTTGGATTGGGACGCAACAGAATATGCACATAGTATGTTGACGTTCCGGACTTGCAAGGGCGCAGGCCAGGGGCCTCATGATTCTCCGTGATCATACACTGATACAGTCATGTCGATTGTTGTGTGTGCGGACCACCCGCTTACAGCCCGGTGCTGAGAAGCACTTGAACCAATAATACAATGAGCACACACATGTCAGGGCGCAGGCCAGGGGCCTCATGATTCTCCGTGATCATACACTGATACAGTCATGTCGATTGTTGTGTGTGCGGACCACCCGCTTACAGCCCGGTGCTGAGAAGCACTTGAACCAATAATACAATGAGCACACACATGTCATGTGTGCACGTGACATGCGAGGTCCCCCCCATTGGCATTGTCGAGTCCTGGTGGGGTGGGCAGTTTTTGTTCTCCTCTTTTCAGGCAGTTCACTTCCCACTGATCCTTTGGAGTTCTCCCAATTATTTAAAATAATTATTGTGAAAGGATTGGGAGAACTTCAAATTTCAAAGGAGACCTATTCCCTGCAAAATGGCACGCATACGTGTGCCATGAAGTCTGGGCCGTGATCGTTTGGTTGGATCCAGATCCAGATCAATAGGATCCACTCGATCTGCAGTGATCGATTGGTCGAATCCGGATCCAGATCCGTTGGATTTGGATCCGAGCAACCCTGCCCCGGGAGCAGGGTTGACCGGATCCAATGGATTCGGTTTTTTTTTGCCAAACAAGACGTTTGTGCGTGTTTGGTGGGTAGTAATCATTGTTATACGCATATGTACACATACACACGGAAAAGCGTTCCACCATGCAGATGAGTATGACGAGTACGGACCTGGAGTAACTTTTTCAGTTGCCGTTTTTCTACCTCCACATGGTCACGGTAGCTGTGTGTTCCGAATCTGATCGATTCGGATTCTGAGGGCACTGGTCCTTCCAGTGGATCTGACGAAACAATCACACCCGTGGTTGTTGTTGTTGTTGACTTTTATTTTACGTCACCAATTGCACAGGCATGATTGCCTTCTTACCGGCCTATAGATCCGGTTCTCACAGAAAGATGAAGAAAATTATATGAGGAAATGTATAGAGATAAAGACATGCAAGCGGTATGATTATTATTATAGAAATGTTTGTTATGACATTGTGTGTATGTGGTAGGGCTGGATCTTTTCGTCGCTCTAGGTTCGTACGTACTCGTCATACTCATCTGCATGGTGCACCACTTTTTCCATCGGTGTACATGTATTTGTACTACTTGTACAAGTAAATGCATAACAGGTAGTACACAGGTGTCCCGACAGTTCACAGAAACCCAATTCACAGAACGACAGTTCACAGAAACCCAATTCACAGAACGACAGTTCACCGGATGACAGTTCACTGAATGACATTTCACTGACTACCTTTTTGACAGACAGCCCATTTCACAGGATACCGTATTATCTCTAATATAAGCACAGTCTCCAATAATAGCACGTCTCCAATAATAGAACACCTTGGGGCGGCATTCAAAAAATAAAGTGCTCAGTCTCCATTATAAGTAGTGTTGAAACGAGCGTATCTATAACAAACGAGCGATCA